TTTCGATTAAAATTGTATGAATAATAATTAAAATCCAGCGATGAGTTTTATTATTTATGAAAATAATTTAAATTTCCCCAAGAAAACTTGAAATTTTGATAAGAATTTTTTTTTTGAACATAGTTGAATTTCTGGGAAGAATTATAAATAATTGAATTCTTGCAACGAATTTTTTTCAAATTTATAAAAATAATTTAATTTCAGTGAAGAATTTTATTATTTATAAAAGTAATTGAATTCTTGAAAATAGAACTTTGTTAATTTTTTTTTTTAAATAATTGAATTCTTGCGATGAATTTTATAAAATTTTTTATTTTAAATAATTGAATTATTTCGAAGAAATTTATTAAAAATTTTGTAAATAGTTTAATTCCTTTGAAATTTTGCCAAAAATTTTATTTATTTATTTTTTTAGTATATAAATATATTTTATTAAACTTTTAAAAATAATTGAATTTCGAAGAATTTTATTATTTATGAAGATAATTGAAATTTTAAAGAGAATTGTTTAAAAAAATTTTGCACATAATTGAATTTCTATGAAAATTTAATTAATCATGATATTAATTGAATTTTTTTTTCATTTTTTCTAAAATAACTACATTTTTTTCTAAAATAATTAAATTCTTTTGAAAAATTTTATAAAAATTAGTAAATATTAAAAATATTTAAATTTTATCGAAAAATTGTATTATTTGTGAAAATAATAGAATTCTTGTAAAAGATTTTACGAAAATGTTTGAAAATAATTAAATTGTTTCAAAGAATTTTATAAAATTTTTTTGAATTGTTTTCTAGGAAGAATTTTATTAAATTTTTTAAGAATATTTTTGTTTCAACTACTGACAGATTTAAAGTAGTGCAAATTCAAAAAAGGAAAAGTAAAAAGTAGCTTTTAGTGTCAAAAATTTAAAAAAAGGTAATTTCAAATAGTAATTATTCGTAAAAAAAATAAAAAAATAGTAAGTTTTAGTAGATGAGTGGCAAGCCTATATCATAAATACAAAAAAAAAATTTTACCCAAACACTAAAAAATACGAAAACTAAACAAAATAAAAAAATTTACACCACTACAAGAATAATACATTTCAGCAGAATTTTACATTTAATGAAAATTATATGCTGTTTTCATTTGCCCATCGTAATTTATATTCAGTGATCCATTTATCTTTATGCTCTAAATCTCTCCAAAATTTACCTTCACAAGTTGATATGAACAAAAGCGTACTTAATTTTTGACGATAATTTAATTACAGTATAAAACAATTATAAAGCAAAAAAAAAAATAAAATAAAAAAAAACAAAAACAAAAAACAAGGACTTCCAAGGAAAATGTAGGTTACATATAAATACACATAAGCGTATGTAAACCAAAGTTTAGTTGGGTCTGACACGATAAAGGAATCGTATATCGACAGACTGAAAATCACTGTCGATTCCTCAATGTGTGTATAATTCTCAATTCACTCATTTAATAATGCCCTTTGACAACACTGACATATTCAATACAAACCTTTTTTTTTCATTTAAAACTACAATTTTCTACAAAAATTTTTTTTAAAAGAAAAAAGAATAAATCTTTTAAAAAGAGAAAAAAAAGTGTTAATGGCGCCCTGTCATATTTTTTCCCCTATATTCGGATGTGAAAAAAGTTCACCTCAATTTTTATATCGAGAAATTTTAAGATAACAAAAATTGTACACGATTTTGATAAAAATATATATATAGAGTTAGATGACAATCAAATATAGTGACATTTTAATTTACAGCTGGATTATAAAATATTTTTAAAGTTAAGGAACAATTTGTTTTACTAAACCTTTAAAAAATTAAATGAACAAGAATTTTTTTTTGCAACGATTTTGTTGTTTCAAAAAACTCCCTTTTTTTATTTTCTTACAATGGTTTAATCAGAAGAATCATTTCTTTGACATAAAAAAATTCTGATTAAATCTAAGAGGTCATCAGTGGTTTGAATCAAAAAAATCGTAATTAAGTTAATAAAATTCGCTCTTAAAATAAATAAAATTACTCCTTCGTGCAAGAGGATTAAATAAAAACTGATTAATAAAATTTGTTAATTAAATTCCTCAAACTTTGAAATTAAATTAACTAAATTCTTTAAGTTTGAAATTAAATTTATCATTATGAAGCTGAAACTGACACCCAATTATCAAATCCCAGGAAATTAAATTGTTTTTTTTTGTCTAAACCATAACATAAAATTTTGAAAAATTAAATAGGTGTTGTAGTTTCATCTTCATAAAAAATATTTAACTTTAAAATTCAATTTCCAAAATTAGCATGTCGATAACTGGGTAACAATTTCAGCTTCATTCAGTTAATTAAATTCTCCATAAAATATTGAAATTCAATTAAAATTTAAAATTAATAAAAAAATAATTATAATTTTCAAGAAAGATCCTAAAGTTCTGAACGTTCAAATGAACGAAATTTATTTATTTCTTCTATACAAATTAAATTTTTATTGCAATTATTTTGCGTCACTATCCAAAAAATTAATAACTGAGTTTCTACTCTCTAAATCTGAATATGTGAAATTTCACTTATTGTACGTTATAAGTCGTCCTCTCGATCAATAAGTGCATATACACTTATAAATAAGTGAATTTTTCACTTATTCTGAGTGAAATTTCACTTATTATAAGTGTATATGCACTTATTGATCGAGAAGACGACTTATAACGTACAACTATGTGAATTTTCACATATTCAGATTTAGAGAGTAACCGTAAATATTTCAGTTTTTAAATTTTTTGTGATTAGTAATTTATAAAAATATCTTCAATAAAAAATATTTCGTTCATTTGAACGTTCAAAACTTGGGGATCATTTTCAAGATACAAAAAGAAATTTAATTTCTTTGTACAACAAGTGAATAAAGTAAACTCAACCTAATTAAAGGGAGAAAGAGCTAAAGACATTTTCCTCGTAAATATTTAAATGAAGTAAACTACCTAAATTAAGTAAATCATTTAATTTCAAGACAATGTAATTCATTAAACGAAATTAATTCTTTAAGAAATATCTGACTTTGCACTCGATAATTAATTTTAAAAAAGGTAGAAAAAAAATTCACTTTTATTTTATCCTGGTAATAATATTTAAATTCTAAATTTTTGTCAATATTTTTCCAATTTTTAGTTAGAAAAAAATACGATAATATTTATATAACTCAAATAAAAAAAAAATTCTAACAACCTTCAAACTTAATTTTAAATAAATTGCAATTTAAAACCTTCTTGAAATTTAACTACTTCAAAAATTTTAACTGTAATTCATCCAAAAATTCAATTGTTTTCGAATTTTTAAATAAAATTATTCAAAAGCCAATTCTTGTTAGAAAATTAAACGAGAATTCAACTATTTCAATACATAAATAAATAATTGATTGAATAATTGATTATTTCTTAAAATTAGATTTTTTTAAAGAATTTTAACAAAAATTTTATAAATAATTGAATTATTTCAAAGAATATTTTGATAAAATTTTTAAGAATAATTACATTTTTCAAAGAATTTATTTAAAATTTGATTAAAAATAATTGAATTATGGTAACGAATTTTACTAAAAGTTGTTTAAATAATTTAAATCCAAAGAACAAATTTATTCTTTCTGAAGATAATTGAATTCTGGCAACAAATTTTATTAAATTTTTTTAAATAATTGAATTCTAGTTACGAATTTTACTAAAAGTTTTTTAAATAATTGAAATTCAAAGAAGGATTTTATTATTTCTCAAGATAATTGAATTCTGGTAACGAATTCTTCTAAAAATTTTAATATTTTAATACTTCTCGAGATAATTGAATTCTGGTAACGAATTTTTCTAAAAGTTTTTTAACATTGTAAATAAATAACATTAACAAATAAATAAATAAATAATTGAAATCCAAAGAAGGGTTAATTTATTTCTCGAGATAATTGAATTCTGGCAACGAATTTTATGAAATTTTTTTAAATAATTGAATTCTGGTTACGAATTTTATTAAAAGTTGTTTAAATAATTTAACTCCAAAAAAGAAATTCATTATTTTTGAAGGTAATTGAATTCTGTCAACGAATTTTATTAAATTTTTTTAAATAATTGAATTCTTGTAACGAATTCTACTAAAAGCTTGTTAAATAATTAAAATCCTGAGAAGAATTTTATTATTTCTGAAGATAATTGAATTTCATTAAATTTTTTTTGAATAATTGAATTTTTTTAAATAATTAATTTCTTTCAACAAATTTTATGAAAATAATTATTTAAATAATTAAATTTCTGTGAAAATGTTATTATTTATGAAAATAATTAAATTTTTGCAATTTTTGTTTTTTTGCAATTTTTTTTTTATTAAAACTTTTTTTTGTAAAATAATTAAAGTGTTTTGTGAAATTTTATTAAAATAATATGGATATTGAAAATAATTGAATTTCATCGATAAATTTCTTCATTTGTTTGATGCAAATAGCCGATTACTTGTCTATTATCAAAAAAATATATTTTCTTGAATCAAATAATTTTTATTCAATTAAATGTTTATTATTACCTATTGAGTATTTATTCCATTATATTTATAATTCAATTTCAATTCAATTTCAATTCAATTCAATTATATGCTATTTAAATTTTATTAAATTATTCAATTAAATAGTATTTGCTTCAAATACAGAAATTATTGTTTCAAACCCAATTTATTCGATTTAAATAAACATTATTTGATTCAAGTAAATATTTATTTGATAATGAACAAAAAAAATAATCCGTTGAGTCAAATAAATTTTTTTTTCACTCTACACATTAAAAATAATACACCAAATAACTAATAATCCCATAAACGCAAAAACATATCGGAATGATGTTTTAATAAAAGGAAAAGTGATTACATTAACAAACGTATCATTTCGCGACAAAAGATCCTCTGAAGAAAATAGGATGGTGGGAGTGAACTCTCTCTTAAGCCCAGCTGATCGTTAAAGTCTGAACTGGTCAGTCAAACTTTCACGTTCTGCGATATTCGAACTTTATCCAAAAGAGCGCATAAATTTTTCCACTATAACGAGAAATGCACTTTTAATAAAAATTTCGCGTTCATTTAACTGAATTAATTTATATTAATGATTCGTGTTAGTTATGATTTGAAAAAAAATCTCAATCCACTCAGAATAAAAATTTTCAAAGGATCAAAGTGTACTTTCTCCACTTAACAGCAAAATAATCATAATTTCTTTTCAATAATAAAAGTGAATCTCAGTGGAACGTTCATTTCTATATATCCTCATATACAGTCAACAATAATATTATTGTGTTTTCAAAAAACAATTTCATTTTTTTTTCTATAGAAATTATAACGACAAAAAAAAAATCTCTTTGAAAATGTGAACCCATCGAATATTGGATTTTTTTCTCTAAATGAATATTCATGGTGAGCGCATATTAATTACGCTTATTAAAAATTATATTTTATCTCTTGAAAAATCACATTTGGGAAATAATATTTAAATTGACATTTTTATTTGTATGCTCTTTAGTTATAATTTAATTAGTTTTTCCTCATTTCACCTACTTTTTGAGTGTTCTTTATTTTTTTATTTTTTTTCAAATATTTCTTTCAAATCTTTTTTAATTATAAATTATAAATTCCATTAACTTTATATTTCGGTATATTTTTTTCAAGGACCTTAACTTTATATTGCATTTACTTTTCTTTATATATTTCAAAACAAATTATTTATTAAAATCTTTTTTATTTTCTATATTTCTATATAAGTATTTTGTTGAAGAATTGAAATATTTTATTGCAGAATTTTTCCAATCAAAATGATTATAATTTTTTTTCTTCTTCATTTTTCAAACAGAGATGTAAAAGTTATGTCAATATTGCCCCTCTATAAAAGTTCTTATCAATATAAATATGTGGAATCAAGTACATTTTCAATATTCTTTTAAATATTTTTATTTTTCTTTCTGATCAAAAAATATTCTTGCTTTCATAAGTGAACCAATAACGTCAATGGAAATATATTAAAGAAGCATCAGAAACAAACAGAAAAAGAAATATTAAAAGTTAATCTTGAAAGAGAAAATGCATATTGAAAATATTGTATTTATTATTTTTTGGTATTACCGCAAAAATTTAATTTTAGCTGTAATATATTTGAGGAAAATTAAATAAAAAAATACTTGTTATTGTTTTCTGTCATAAAAGAAACTTTATTATTGAAGGCTTGTTGAAAAAATAATTTGATCTTTTTATTGTATAATAAAAATTAAAATATAAAATTTAACATTTAGAAACTTATAAAAAAAAAATTAATATTTTTTAATACGTGAAACAAAATTATTGTAATAAAATTTTAACTTGAAGAAGAAAGAAATAAATTTCGTTCATTTAAAAGTTCAGAACTTTTAGGAACATGAAATTAAAGTATTAACGGATTTTGTAGTTTCAAAATTTTAATTCCAGGAATTTTTTTGTTTTTTGAAATTATGAAAAGAACAAACTTTTATTGAGTGTTTATAAGGTCTTAAATGTGAATTTTTAATATCACATTAAACTTTTCATGTCTCATTGGCTATCGCTATTTAATTTAGCCTGCTATATGAACCAAAAAAAATTATAGCTTGTTTCAGTAAAAGTTACTTATCTGGAACTCGTAAATACTAGAATAACTGGTAACGAAATATTTCCGTTCTTAAATAATTACTGAAAAAAAAGTAAAATACAAATATAATAATCTACATTAAATTTAAAACCTAATCTTTAAATTTGAATTAGTAAAAATGTTTACTAATTTAAATTTTAAAAAAATTAAAAACAAAAAACGTTTAAAAAATTAAACGTTTTAAATTTTAATACCATATAAATTATTTTTTATTATGTGAACTAAAATTATTTCAACAATAAAATTTGAATTTTGAAAAGAAATAAGTAAATTTCGCTCATTTGAATGTTCAAAACTTATTTATAGGAACATGCAAAGTAAAATGAAAAATAACGATTAACATGACTAGGGTCAATTGGGGTAAATGTAAACGGAATATCTATGTTTCACGAAAAACATTAGTTTTTTTTGTTAAAAGGTAAAACGGATGGATTTTTTTTTATGAACTTGTTACTAGAGTTCCCTAGAAAAATTTTATGAGGTACAAAAAAATATTGATGCACCTGAATCGCCTAAAACTGACTGTTTACATTTACCCCGAGATTTTGAAATTATCCTAAAATTCGGGGTAAATGTAAACACCACTGTAGTTAAGCGAAGTTTAAGAAACAAGTTATTTCAAGTATAACTACTGTTTTAAGGGATGGAAAAACTGAAAAAAAATTCTTCGTAGATGTATAGTAAATCAACCAGTTGACTGATAATGTATCATATAAATAAACAATCAAACATTACAAAACTAGTAATGTAAAAACTTGAATAACTTGAACAAATTTTAATAGATTTTCATTCAACTTGGTAAAAAGAAGTTTTTAAGGTTTCTGAATAAGAATCTAAAATCGAATTTTTAAATTTCAAAATGGTGGATCCAGTATGGCGGATGAACCTAATAATAATATTTTTAAAAATTGATCAAATTTTCAAAAAAAAAATTTTTTTTTTTAACAAATTTTTGTTTTTGTTTTAAAGAAGACCTAATTTCCTTTTCTATATAATTTTACATTGACAAATTAATGAAATTGTGAAATAGAAGCAAATTTATTCAATTATTTTCTTTTAAAATGTAGTTCAAGTTCTGTTTACATTTACCCCGAGTTTTCGAATTCTCGGGGTAAATGTAAACACTTAATTATCTATTAACTAAATTGACGAAAATCAAAAATCAAAGTCAATTTTTGTTAGGGCATTAATAAGGAAGAATTACAAATTTTAGTTTGATTTTTAAATTTATTTTTATGCAAATGCGAGACAAAATACTGAAACAGTAAAATTTTGATTTTCAATCTTTTTTGCATTAAAAGATAACTTACACTATGGCATTGCCAATTGTCAAAATAAAATATTGGCAATACTCAGAACATCTTGTAGGTGAGCTGAGGTAAAAATATTGACGTCGTACTTATTTTTTAATTTGTAACTTTAGCTGAAACATCTACTGTTTACATTTAGGGTAAGTGTGCCAATTATGGCGCGGTTCTGGTTTAGCCGTCTTTGAAATAGAAAATTCAAAAATTATAATGAAAGAAGTAAATTTATGGCTTATTAAACTAAAAGCCCGTGTCATATAGATAATAAAACTTTTATAAAAACTTTATAAAAATTAATTATTTAAACAAAATTAAAGCAATAAGAATTAGGATTAAAAACGTCAATTATGGCGCGGTTGAGTCAATTTCGGCGCGCCAATTACGGCGGGGAAAATAACGTGTATTTAGAGGTTGTGTTGCGCGCCATAACTGGAGCACGCACATTCAATGAAAATGTGCCAATTATGGCGGGGCACAATTTTTGTACTTAAATAATTAAACCAATAATTTCTAGATGCATTTCCGAAAAATTCACTTATTCTACACTTTTTAAATATTTTAAACAAAAATGCCTTCAATAATAGAATTAGAAACACATTATAAGCGGAAGAATAAAAAGAATCGTATAAATTTTTATTCCTTTAAGATCATCTTTTGTCAGAAATTCAATAAGAAAAATAAGAACTCTTCAAGGTATATATAATTTTTACCTTTTCTTTCTTTTATCTCCTACATTCTATATAATAATAATAATAACAATTTTTATATTGTAGTATATAGTGCAACAAAATCGATTTTGAAATTGCCATATATACAAGGAGAAAAAATGAACTTTTCTTTTGTTTGAAAGAAGAGAAAAAAAAGTTAATCAAATATAAATTATAGCCAAGAAAGTAAAATAAAATAATTGATCCCGATATTTGATATTTTTTCTTCATTATTGCTATTATATCTCTTATAATTAAAGATCTTTTATAGATCTTTATCTTTATTATTATTATTATTGTTATTTTTGTATTATTTTCCAATTATTATTTTTATTATTTTTATTTATTTACATTTTTCAAAAACTAGAGCACAATGAATTATTTTTAATTTATAGAGTTTAAAATATAAATTAAAAGCCCTGAAAAAAAATTTCCACTCTTTTGGAGTGGATCCAAGAAATTTAATCGAAAATCTTATTAGCTTTCAGCTAATTGAAAAAGTGATAAAGTGAAAAATTAATGAAACGAAAATTCAAAGTAAACGTTAGAATATAATATCTTTAGAGAATTTTCTTTATTAACAAGCTGTGATACACCTGTTAAAAGAAATTATATTATACAGAAGAAAAGTGATATAACACTTTTGACGCAAAAAAAGCTAACCTTTCTCAATTAAGATAATTCTTAGAGTTGTTTACTATAACGAACAAAATAAAAGAAAAAAGAAAATTTCACTACTCACTAGAAAAAAAGTACCATATAATAAAATAAATTATTACCTCTAATAAAATTGTCAATTTTATTTATAATATACAGGCCTCGGATCTCGACTTTAAGGCGGAAAAAAAGACGCTTTAATCGATTAAAAATAGAAAAAAAGTCGAAAAAGTCAATTATTTAATTCAGTCTTGTCACAAAAATTTTATTTTGTATTTTCCTGATTTTCCCTTTTCACTGATTTCTAAATTCAATTATTCAGAACTTTAATAATTTTTTAAGTAAATATTTAAATACTTCTAATTTGTTTTTCCACTGAAAATAAAATTTATTCAGTTATTTATTAAATTGAAATTTAAAACATTTCAATTAAGACCTTCTGAAATCCTTATTAATAAAATCAGATGTCTGTCTGTACATTGCTTAAAACTTCAAAATGTTAACATGATTAGTTATTATGGACATCAGAGATTCCAAAAATGTTCTTAAAAAATTTAATGTATGTATGTACAGTACCGGCCAAAATTGTCAGTCCATCCATTTTTGAAGGAATGAAAAAAAATTTTTAACATAAAATTTATGATAACTCAAAATTTTTTTGGTTTATATTTTAAAAGACGATAAAATTTTGAAAAGAATAAGACCTCACAGAAGTCATTTGGCCAAAATTTGTAGAAGATATTCTTAAAAATCGTCATTTTCAATGTTTTACAAAAATTGGAATAACTTCTAAAATAATGAACGCTTTTTAATAATCTTAGGCTTATTTTAAAGGTCATTTTCTACGGAATAAGAATTACTTATAGGCATTAACCTGTAATTTTTTATTTGGAATAAGCATAACGTCAAAGTTGGACAAAAAAATTGGAAAAATTTGAAATAAATTTTTTGTACTAAAAACTATTCTAGAACATATATAAAACATGATATGGTGTAGATTTTTCAAGAAAATTTAATAAAAAAATATGTTTGAATTTCAAAAATTATTTTTCTTTTAATAATATTATTTCAAATTTTTCCTATTTTTTTGTCCAACTTTGACGTCATGCTTATTCCAAGTAAAAAATTACAGGTAAATGCCTTTAAGTAATTCTTATTCCGTAGAAAATGACCTTTAAAATAAGCCTAAGATTATTAAAAAGCGTTCATTACTTTAAAAGTTATTCAAATTTTTGCAAAACATTGAAAATGACGATTTTTAAGAATATCTTCTACAAATTTTGGCCAAATGACTTCCGTGAGGTCTTATTCTTTTCAGAATTTTATCGTGTTTCTATATATAACCCAAAAAAAATTTTAGTTTTCATGAATTTTATGTTAAAAATTTTTTTTCATTCCTTTAAAAATGGGTGGACTGACAATTTCGGACGGTACTGTATGTATGTATGTATGTATGTATGTATGTATGTTTGTCTGTCACAAAAACTTTGTACCCCAATCACACAAAAACATGTGAATCGATTTAAGTCCAACTTGGTAGGTTATTAGGTATTGACCCAAGGAAGGTTTATAAATTTACAGATTTAAAAAATATTAATTAGAACGGGAGATATTCAATTTTTTCAAAAAATTCAAAAAATCGAAAATTTCAAAATTTTTTATTTTTCATGGATTGCTTTTGAAGTTTATATACTTGAGTATTATATGTTATTTAGTCACATTATAGCATAACTTTGCAAAAAATAAAGTCCTATAACTAATATGTAAGTATAAAAATGTTTTCAAAAAATCGAAAATTTCAAAATTTTACATTTTTTTATGGATTGCTTTTAAACTTTCTATATTTGAGTATTACATGTTATTTGGTCACATTTTAGCATAATTTTTCAAAAAATACTATTCTACAACTAAGATGTAAATATAAAAATATTTTCAAAAACTTGAAAAATGGAAAATTTCCAAATTTCACAATTTTTAATGGATAGCTTTTAAACTTTCTAAAACTGAATATTATATGTTATTTAGTCAGATTTTATCATAATTTTGCAAAAAATACTATCCTACAAGAAATATAAAAAAATTTTCAATATATCAAAAAATCGATACTAATTACTATATGAAGTATAATTCAGTAGTATTTTTGGAGTCTCTGATTAATATTTTGATGTCAAAATAGTGCAATTCAAAATTATTTATCAAATCAATCTAATATTTTCAAGAAGTTCAGAAATATTGAAAATGGAAATTTTTTATGATTAAAATGATTTCGCAGGATGTCAAGAATTGTAAGTCACCTGTGATACAATACAAGCATATTATGCCACTAGGCAAAAACTTATATGTTAAAACGTTTTTTCATTTTAACTCTAGATTTAACTTTAAGAGATGTTTTGAGCAATGTAAAGACAAAAGTTAACACGGTGTCTATTTTTGTTTAACAAAATTCCCTGCTTTGTCCAAACTTTTCACGGTTTATCTCTTTTTTGTCAAATTTAAATTTACTTGATTTTATCCATAAATAAATCTACAAATGGCTATAAAAATTTACTTATTTTATGAAAATACTGTTTCTTAAGTTCCCAAACGGGAAAAACTGTAAAAAGCTGGGAATATGCCGAACCGGGAATTTTCCTATCAAATTAAGAAAAAGTTTCATTATATTAATTCGCTTTTAAAAAATTGCTTTTTACTTCAATTTTTATTGATGTATAATATTTATGAAAACAGACCCGAGTCAAAATTTAAGCCCTACTTTCAGCCTAAAATTTAGGTCTTATGTTAGGTTTTAGCAGTCGTAACGTAGGGTCTACTTGCGATACAATTAGTTCCAATTAGACTCTACTATAACTCCAAAAACTGTATGGAAAATTTAATTTTTTTAATACATTAATTAAAGTACTACAAATTGATAAATATTGTTCTCTGCATTTGAATTGGTTAAAATAACTAATTTGATAACAAAAAGTCAATCACTGATTCAAATAGTAATATTTTCCTACTAAAATAGCTATAATGGTAACTAATTATTATTTTTTTCCGGTCAAATTAAATTCCCTAGCTATTTCCTGATTTTCCAGATTGGTAGAAACTTAAATGTATTGGTAGAAACTAAAACCCGTCGAAGACGGGTACGACAGCTAGTTTAATATAAATTCTAAAACTTACTTCCAAAATTCAATTATTTTCTACAATTTTCAGCCAAATTTCATCTCGAAATCAATTATTTTTGTTAATTTTCCCAAAGTTCTTTGAGAATTCAATTTTTAAATACAAAAAAAAAATTCACTTTACTTTGTCCATAAATAATTATCATGAACCAATTTTAAGGCTTAATTTTTTTAAAAATATTGTAATGCAATTTTTCGAAAATAATTGAACTACTTAAAAGAATTTTAGTATCTATCTATAATTTAAAAGAAGGTAATTAATTTTCACGAAGAATTTTAATTAAAAACTTTGAAGATAATTGTTTTCCTCCAAAAATGTTAAAAATGATTCTAAACAATTTTAATCTTATTATCCCTTTGTGTATACGTATTTGAATTTTCGGTAATATTGTAATTGAAAATATTCAAAATAATAGAATTTTAAAAAATTAGAATGAAAAAAATTCTAAGAATTACTTTTTTCAATAAATATTTTAATATAGTTTTTAGAAAATAGGTTTTTATTGAATTTCATTTATAAATTTATATCTACTTAAAGATTTTCCATTACAATATTTTTGAGAATTCAATTATTTACAAAATTTGCAATTAAAATTCTTCAGAAGTTGATTTTCAAAAATCGGAACAAAATACTTGAAAAATCCAATTATTCCCAATTCATACAAAAATTTCAATTATTTAAAAATTTGTTTAATTGTATATTTCGAAAATTTAATTAGAAAAATTATTCAAAAATAATTTTTGAAAGATTTTTCTAAAATTATTTTTCACTATAAAAATCGAAATAAGTTGCATTTCATAATAAAAATTTGGTATTTAGTTGCAATATTTGGAAGAACAGTCGCAATATTTATTTAGAAAAAATCGAAATTTTTGAAAATAAGTCGAAAAAAAGTCTCATTTTATAGAAAATATTTTAAAAAGTCATAATATTCGAGGCCTGTTATTTAATTTAATATGAAAGCAATAATATTTCTATTTTAAATACAAAAAAATCAGAAAACAATTTTTTTTTAAAGATTTTTAATTTTTAGAAAAAATTATTAATTTCTCTAAAGTTTGAAAAGTAATGTATTCTTTTCTTCAACATAAGTAAATAGTTTTTAAAATATTTTAAATATAAATTTAAATATTTTTATACTTTGAAATTTAAAATAGTTGCAAATCTTGGAAATTAAATTAAAGAAAATTATATGCGATTTGTGGGTATAATTTTTAGAAAAGAATTTTTTTATTAATTTTCACCTTTAAATTTATATTTGAAGATTTTTTATTAAAATTTCTGAGAATTCAATTTTTTTTCAAAATTTGCAATTAAAATTCTTCAAAAGTTGATTTTGCCAAAAGTGTAACAAAATACATGGAAAAAAATTAATTATTTTCAATTAATAAAAAATTTCAGTTATTCAAAATTTGTTTTACTTGCAAATTTCGAAATTTTAATTAAAAAAATTATTCCAAAATAATTTTTGAAAGACTTGTCCACGGTTATACTTTTTCACACTGTAAATATCGAAATAACAGTTTGTATTTCATACTAAAAATATTTTCCTAAAGTTTTGAACGTTCAAATGAATGAAATACATTTTATGCTCTAATATTTTTAAAAGTATTACACAGAAATGGAAAAATATTATAATTGATTATTTATTTACTTAAAAATGATTTTTTAATTATAATAAAAAACAATATTTATAAAATTAAATTCAAATTAAAAAAAGAAATAAAAATATCGTCGTTGCATTTTGATACTAAAAATGTGGTTTTTTGTTGCAATATTTGAGAGAAAAGTCGAAAAAGTCTCCAATTTTTGAAAATAAGTCAAAAAAAGGTTGAAAAAGTTATAGTTTTCAAGTTCTATTTATTAAATCAAAATAATTTATTTGACGCAATTGAATATTTTTATTTGAATTAACCAAACACTAACGTGTTTGGTTAATTCAAATAAAAATATTCAATTGAAAAGCATTTTTCAAAAATAATTCGAGAAAAGTCGCATTTTTTTGAAAATAGTCGAAAAAAGTCCTAATATCCAAGATCTGATAAAATATTTAAAAATTATGAAAATAGTATAAAGAAAAATTGAACAACTAACAATATGACAATTTCTCTTCACAATATAGGTATAAAGATGTTATTCGATTCATAAAGTTGAGATCAATTTCGTTCTCAGGAAATAATTGGGATCAATGCAGTTTATAAGCGTGCGGAGATGCCTAGTGAAAGTTCAGAGTGTAGTTAAACTTAAAGTCGGTGTGCGCGACGACGAAGACGAAGACACGACGACAACGACAACGACGACGACGACACAGTTTACACAGTTTACACAGTGTCAACAAACTAATACAGTTAAAACTCGAATGTATACATTAATGGAAGCTGTGAAATGACAAGATGAGACAAATGCAAAATCGAAATCTCATCATCACATGAAACTGTCTTTCAAAAGAAACATATCCTGTTTTCAACTTTAAAGAACTGCTGACTATATAGTATATATACTTTATTCAAAAAAGCCAGTTTACAACCAGAATTCTATTTGAAAAGGAAGTCAAAGAAGAAAAACAAGAGTAAAAAAAAGAAGAGTTAAAAAAGATTTTAAAAAAAGAGTTAAAAAAAGACTAAAAAAAAGGGTAAAAAAAGGCTAAAGAAAAGAGTATCAAAAAGACTAAAAGAGTAAAAAGAAGAGTATCAAAAAGAGTAAAAGAGTAAAAAAAAAAAGAATCAAAAAGACTAAAAGAGTAAAAAGAAGAGTATCAAGAAAAATAAAAAGAACAAACTTTGAAGCAAATCCCCGTCAATGTCTCTTCATGGAAAATAATAATTAATCACAGTTTCGTTCTATTCAGTCATTGAAATCTCGCCTCGTGACGAATTGATTTCCCAAGAGGAAGACACAACGATGACGACTTTGATATTTCAATAATAATGGGCAACAATTTTTTCCTTCTTAATTTTTTTTTTTCAAAAAAAAAACCTGTATGCAAGGTTTCTACCTTTTCATTAACACTATTTTAAAAAAAACCCATAATTTAATAAGCTTATTTTTCAAGACAAAACGATTATAAAAGCATCACATCTCAGTTCTCTCTCGGAGTTCACTGAAGCCGTTCACCAAAAGCGGGGCTCTTCATTTTAATTAGATTTGCATTGAAAAATTTTACTCCTTTTTACGATTAATTTATAAACGAGAAAGACGATTCATTTGGGAATTCAATGAAAAATTCAAAGTAGTGATTTTCTTTTTCAAAAAAAGAAAAAAAATGCAATTTTCATTTCAATAGATATAAACTCAGTGAAAATTCGAATATATACGGTAATTAATAATTAAAAATTTGAAAGACAGAAGAAGAAGAAGAAAATGTCGACTAGTTACTTAATGACAGTGGGTTTAATTTTTTTCGGTGTAGTGAAATGGTGTGATAGTTATAATATTTTAATGGCGACAATGGGAGGTACAAAATCGCACACGATCCCCTTTATTGCCCTTGGTACGACATTGATTTCAAGAGGTCACAATGTCACTCTCGTCAGCGCATTCAGTGGATCGGCAGCGAATAATGGTCTCCAGGAAGTGGTACCCTCCATTCTCGAGGTGAGAATTGCAAAATATTTTCAACTAAATTCAATTTCTTTTTCAATTTTACATAAAAATATATTATATCTAAGATTGAAAAAGAAATTTAATTTCCTTTTTCCCTGATTTCCAAACAAAAATTTCACTTTTTCCCTGACTTTTCATCATTATTATTATTTTTCTACAGACTTTCAGAGTTTTTAATTTTAAATCAATTTCTATTAGAAAATTCTACGAGAATTCAAATTCTTTAAAAAGAAAAATAAATAATTTATTGAATAATTGTATCGTTCAGAAAATTGAATTCTCATAGAGAATTTTCAAATTTTAAATCAATTTTTATAAAAAAAATTCTACGAGAATTCAATTATTTAAATAGGAAAAATAAATTATAATTGAATAATTGAATGTTTTTTATAATTGAATTCTCCTAGAGAATTTTCAAATTTTAAGTCAATTTTTATAAAAAAATTCTACGAGAATTCAATTATTTAAATAGAAAAATAAATAATTTATAATTGAATAATTGAACGTTTTTTATAATTGAATTCTCATAGAGAATATTCAAATCTTAAATCAATTTTTATTAAAAAATTCTACGAGAATTCAATTATTTAAATAGAAAAATAAATAATTTATAATTGAATAATTGAACGTTTTTTATAATTGAATTCTCATAGAGAATTTTCAAATTTTAAATCAATTTTTATAAAAAAATTCTACGAGAATTCAATTATTTAAATAGAAAAATAAATTATAATTGAATAATTGAATGTTTTTTATAATTGAATTCTCCTAGAGAATTTTCAAATTTTAAATCAATTTTTATTAAAAAATTCAACGAGAATTCAATTATTTAAAAAAAAAATAATTTATAATTAAATAATTGAACGTTTTTTATAATTGAATTCTCATAGAGAATTTTCAAATCTTAAATCAATTTTTATTAAAAAATTCTACGAGAATTCAATTATTTAAATAGAAAAATAAATAATTTATAATTGAATAATTGAACGTTTTTTATAATTGAATTCTCATAGAGAATTTTCAAATTTTAAATCAATTTTTATAAAAAAATTCTACGAGAATTCAATTATTTAAATACAATATTATATAATTTATTAAATAATTGAATAATTCTTCAAATTGAATTTTTATAAGGTATTTTATCAAAATTTTTGAAAATAAAATTGAATCCTTTCGGAAAATTTTATTATAATTTTTATGAATAATTACATTTTTCAAAAAATTTATTTAAAATTTGTATTAAAAATAATTTAATTTCAGTAAAAAATTTTATTATTTATGAAAATAATTGGAATTTTATGAACAATTTTATTAAAATTTATGAAAATAATTTAATGTTTGCGAATAATTCTATCAAAATTTATTTAAATAAGTAAAAGTAATTTAATTTTTACGAAGAATTTTATTAAAATTTTGAAAAATAATTGAATTTCTGAGAACAAGTTTATTATTTATGAAAATATTATTTAAATGTTTGCGAATAATTTTATTAATTTTTTTTTAAATATTTGAATTCTTTTGAAAAATTTTATTAATATATAAGTAGAAATTGAACATTTTTTAAAGTAGATAATTGAAATTTTGCCAAGAATTTTTTTCAAATTTTTTCAAATCATTCAATTTCGGAGAAGAATTTTATTATTATTTTTATAATGGAAATTTTGACGAGGATTTTTAAAAATTTTCGAACAGAATTGAATTTCTGCGAAAATTTTTATTTACTTCTGAAAATAATTGAATTTATGCAATTATTTGTAACTTTTCCAAAACAGTCAATTTTTTTAGTCTTTTTAACTAAAATTCTTCTATAAATTAATTATTTTTAATAACTAATTAAATGTATATTAAAAATTGTAATTAATGGGTACAGTTTTTTATCTGTTTAATAATTCAAAAAAATGTTTATTAATTTTAAAAAATTACTAATTTTATTTATTTACAATTTTGCTTTGTCGCTCCAAGTTTTAAAATAAGGTACAAATTATTCTCATAATATAAAAGCTGTAATTGGCAAATCAAAATCATGCCAATTATTTTCTACAAAAAAATAAGTCTTATTAAAAAATTTGTTTGACAAACCAAAGTTATGAAGCGGTTATTTTATTCATGTCTAAAAAAGTTAGAATCAAATTATTATTCAGGAATAAATGAAAAAAATTTCGTTCGAATTTGAAAAGAAATTTTGTAAAACCAATACTTTCGAATATTTCATCTTTCAATTTAATTAATTATTATCAATTCCATAGAAATACTGGGAGCTGATATTTTTTACTAAATAAACGAAACAGAATTTTTTAATTATTCTTTTGATAATTATATTTGACATACGTAATTGTAATATGAATACAGATATATTTAATTAAATATTTATTTACTTACGAAGTGAAGTCGAAGAGAAACGTATATGTTGTTTAACTCACCTGAAACAAAAAGAAAAATAATATTTTATAATTAATCTAATTTATTAATCAATTATTTATAAAACTAAATTTGTAATACTAATATATAAAAAATAAAGAAATGATAATAAATTCCTCAATTTTTCTATCATTTATTATATTTAATCCAGAATCCGAAAAGTAAATAATATATACGAATAAAAAGAAAAATTACATAAACTTCTAGAAAATTGTGTTTCATTAACGTCAAAATAAGAACGACGCTATTATTTTAAAGCAAAATAATTTTCCTTCTTTCAGAAGCATTTTAAAAGACATTTAAATTATTCTAGGAAATTATCTCCACACAATGCAATGAAGAAGAAACCTTTTAATATTTCTTTTTCTTTTGTTTGAAAATTAAACAGCGTTTCCAGTTGTTCAATTAATTAATTGTTTCAAGCCTTCGTGCGTTTTTCACAGAAATATTTAATATTACAAATTTACAAAATGTAAAAAAAATTAAAGAAATAAGAAAATTTTATTGTTTTTAAATAAGAAATGTTTATTTATAGAATTGGAAAAACTTTTTCTACTTTTAATTGCTTTTATAAATCTTAAAAATTTCTAACGCTCAAAATAAACGACAATTTCTTTTTTATTTATTTAAATTTGAATATTATTAAAAAATTGTTTTTGCATATTAAACAAATTAATTCTTGTAACTAAATATGATACGCTCTCAAACAAGGTGCTTAGGAAGGAAAAAATTTTAGGTTATGTTTATAATTTTTAAAGTAAAAATACAGAAAGAGAATCAATTATACTATAACAGATTGTTGTTCAAGTCTTCTTTACATCTAAAAATATTCAATAAAAACTAGTTTCAAATTTACATAATTAAAGATAAAACATTTAATCATGGTAAGAATAACGTAAACATAACCTAAACGTGATTTTCTTTTTGGGTATATTTCTTAGGAGCGCGCGGAGCGCGTCACAAATATTTCATTTAGCTGAAAAAAATTCCATCTCTTTAACTTTGAACCAATTTTTCGTAATTTTTGAAAATATTTAATAAAATTTCATTTTAAGGTTCAAAAATTAAAAAAAAAATTTCCTCTGAATATTAAAATTTATAATTATTTCGATAGTAATATCTTTGTACAAAACAACTATTTTTAACTATTAAAAATTGTTCCGATTCATTAAAATCATTTTTAATTATAAAAAAAACAATTGTTTACATTTTAGGACATTTTCAGTGTGACAAATAATTTTTTCTCTATTTTATTTCTTTTTGTGACTAAGAAAAGTAATTAGTGAAAGTAAAAATGAAATATAAAAAATTGCTTTCTATAAGAAATAAATTAGTTCGAGAACCGAAATAGAAAAATTATTCTTTCTTGTGGTTTTGAAGGTGAATCGTGAAATTTTTTTCCGCTCTCTGGTTTTAAACTTTCCCTACTTTTTTTCCACCTCTATTCTTCAACTGTCTATGAAAAATTGATTTCTCGATCACTAATACCAGAGTATATACAATATATGTTGAATAAATATATATGCGTATGTATATATAAATGAAAGACCTTTCTCCAAACGCTATTGTTTGAGTTGCACACGAAATATGCGTCCGTGAAATTAAGAGTTGACCCTCAGCATCAAAAATTATTTTTTAGGATTTTTGGAGATAAAAATGGCACTAGGGTATCGAAGCACCAGTTTTTGCCGCACAAATATTTATTGTAATTATTTATATTTAAGTTTAATTAATGATTTTACTTAAGGAAATACTTAAAATCCTGTAGTAATATATAATTATAATGAGAAATATTAATCATAATAAATATAATTAAATGAAAATTTTATAAAAATGACCAAAACTGGAGCAGTGGCCAAAAGTGGTACATCTACCCTAAATTTATTACTTTAATTCACAGACTTTGCACTCGATAATTAATTTTAAAAAAGTAGTAAAAATTGTAGATTTCAAACTAAAAAAAGTAGCTGTCAAAAAATTAAACTTGACGACCAAAAAAATTCGTTTTAAACACTTCACAAAACTGCGACAAAAATTCCATTCTATATTTATTTTCATGACTTTTTCCTAATTTTCATAAAAAATATTTATCTCCTTTTTATCCTGCTAATAAATTGAATCCCTGCAACGAATTTTATTATTTATGAAAGAATTTTAATATTTATAAAAATAATTTAATTCTTGCCAAGAATTTTAAAAGAATTTTTGAACAATTGATTTCTTTCGACTAATTTTATGCAAATTCTAATTTAAATAATTGAATTCCTGAGAAATTTTTATTATTCATGATAAAAATTGAATTTTTACGAAGATATTTACAAAAATTTTTTTATATAATTGAATTCTGTTTGGAGATTTTATAAAAATAGTAGATTTTAAACATCATTGAATTGCGAAAAGTTTTTAAAAATAATTAAATTTTTACAAAGAATTCTATTTAAATTTTTGACAATAATTGAATGTCTGTGTAGTATTTTATTAAATTTTTTTGAAAATAATTGAATTCTTGCGAACGATTTTATTAGAATTTCTTAAAATAATTGAATTTCCAAGAAAAAATTTATTAATTTTTTAAAAATAATTGAATTCTTGTGATGAATATTGTTATTTATAAAAATAATTGAATTTTTGACATAAATTTTATTAAAAATTTTGGAAGACAATTGAATTTCTGCGAATAATTTTGTTATATTTGAAGATAATAATTGAATTTATGCCAAAAAATTTATGAAAATTCTTGAAAATAATTGAATTTTGTAGAAGAATTTTGCTAATCATTTATAAAGATAATTGAAATTTTAACAATTATTTTTTTTAGATTTTATTGAAAATAATTGAATTTCTGCGAAAAATTTTATTAATTTTAAAAACAATTAAATTCTTGTTATTAATAATGTTATTTATAAAAATAATTGAATTTTTGAAATAAATTTTATTAAAAATTTTGGAAGACAATTGAATTTCTGCGAATAATTTTGTTATTTTTGAAAATAATAATTGAATTTATGCTACAAAATTTATGAAAATTCTTGAAAATAATAGAATTTATAAAAAGTATTTTATTGTTTATGAAAATAATTATTGAATTCTTGCGAACGCTTTTATTAGAATTTTTTAAAATAATTGAATTCTTGTGATGAATAATGTTATTTATGAAAATAATTAAATTTTGCAAAGAATTTTATTAAAATTTTCAAAAATAATTGAATTTTCGAGAATAATTTTGTTATTTATCTTTAATAATTGAATTCTTTCGAAGAATTATTTATGTAAATAATTGAATTCTTGGGAAGGATTTTATTAAAATCGAAAAGAATAATTGAATTATTTTTCAAAAAAATTATTTAAAACTGTATTTAAAATAAAAATTCTAATACTTTTGTAAATAACTGAGTTCTTCCAAAGAATTTAAAAAAAACATTTTTTTTAAATAATTCAATTTTTCGAGGAATTGAAATTAAATTTTTAAGAATAATTATATTTTTTGAGCAATTCCTGTGAAATTGCTTTAAAAAATAATTGAAATCCTAAGATGAATTATTTTACTATGAAAATAATTTTATTTTAGTTATGAAAATAAAAATTAATTAAAAAGTCAATAAAAATATAATTTTATTAATGAAAATAATTGAATAGTTGCAAAGATTGTTATTAAAATTTTCAAAAATAATTGAAATCCTAAGAAGAATTTTATTATTTATGATAATAATTAAATTATTGCGAAAAATTTTATTAAAAAGTTTAAAAAGAATTGAATTTCTGTGAAAAAATTTTATTACTTTTAAAAACAATTGAATTTCTGTGAAAAAAATCTTATTACTTTTAAAAACAATTGAATTCTTGTGATGAATAATGTTTTATGAAAACTAGCCAAACTATCCGCGCGCAAGCGCGCGGGAATGTTGTATGGGGCTGCTTATTTTAAACAATTTAAAAAATTTTAAAGAAATAATTATTATAACCTAACAAAGAGATTTAACTAACTAAAATTCAAATAATTTCACTCAATGGTCTCAATTTAAATAGAATTTACATTACTAGACTTAAACTATGGCTAGAACAATTACAATTTTAGTATCTGGGTCATCTTTTGCATTGCTTATTTTATAAAGCCATTTAAAATTAAATACTTTTTAAAGAAATAATAATTATTACACACTGAAAAAAGTTTTACTTGAAATAGCGATAAGTTTCTCTAGAATAACGAAAGTATTAATTGAAGCACTGAATAATTTCGCTACTAAAGTGAAATCTGTAGTTCATCCAGCTAAATATTTTTTGCCGTGCATAACGAAAAAAGAATTAAATTAACATCAGATTTTCTACATTCAAAAAAAACGAATTCAAATAGAAATTAATCATTTTACAACTTAACCAAATTCACCCCAGAAATCACTGAATTCGATAATTTAGAAGAAAGTCAGACAAAAGCAGGGCTCCTACAGAATCTGGAAATCATGGAAATGGTATGGAATTTTTAAAAGGCTTCTGGAAATCAGGGAAATAATGGAAAAGGCCTGTAATTTTTAAAAAATTCTAAATTTTTTCAGTTTTCCATTTTTTCTCTTGCATAAAAATTCAAATAATAATAAAGCTAAATGGTATAAAAGAGAAAAAAAATGTTGAATTTTAAGAAATTCAATTTTTCGGATTTTTGACAATTTTTAATAATTTTTTATTTTTTTCCAAAGAGTCGAGACAATTTAATAAGTAAAGTATTTTCCAAAAGCACAAAAAAATGAAGCTAAATCCCATAAAAGAGAAGAAAAAATGTTGAATTTTAAGAAAATCGGATTTTTGAATTTTTTCGAATTTTTGATAATTTTAGATTTTTTACCAAAGAGTCGAGACAATTTAATAAGTAAAGTATTTTCCAAAAGCACAAAAATAATGAAGCTAAATCCCATAAAAGAGAAGAAAAAATGTTGAATTTTAAGAAAATCGGATTTTTGATTTTTTGATAATTTTAGATTTTTTACCAAAGAGTCGAAACAATTTAATAAGTAAAGTATTTTCCAAAAGCACAAAAATAATGAAGCTCAATCCCATAAAAGAGAAGAGAAAATGTTGAATTTTAAGGAAATCGGATTTTTGAATTTTTTCGAATTTTTGATAATTTTAGATTTTTTACCAAAGAGTCGAGACAATTTAATAAGTAAAGTATTTTCCAAAAGCACAAAAATAATGAAGCTAAATTCTATAAAAGAGAGGAAAAAATGTTGAATTTTAAGAAATTCGGATTTTTGAATTTTTGATAATTTTCTATAATTTCACATTTTTTACCAAAGAGTTGAGACTATTAAATAAGTAAAGTATTTTCCAAAAGCACAAAAATAATGAAGCAAAATCCCATAAAAGAGAAGAAAAAATGTTGAATTTTAAGAAAATCAAATTTTTTAATTTTTTCGAATTTTTGATAATTTTAGATTTTTTACCAAAGAGTCGAGACAATTTAATAAGTAAAGTATTCTCCACATTAAAAAGTTTAACATTAAAAAATATATAAAAAATGCCAATACTTAACCCACAAAATTAAATTTTCAAAACAAACAAATGAATGCACATAATTTGCTAACGGAAAGGAAACTTACGATTATTATAATGTATGTATATGTGTATATGTATATTTCTATTTTCTATCAAAACGTATAAAAAACAAAAGAATAACTATAACTAACTTCAAGTGTGGACAGAGATCCGGAAATCTGGAATCACGACGATTATTATATATAATAATTAAATTTTGCAAAGAATTTTATTAAAATGTCTCATAATAATTGAATTTTCGGGAATAATTTTGTTATTGAATTCTTCTAAAAACTTAAAAAAAACATTATTTTAAATAATTGATTTTTTCGGGGCATTGGAATTCAATTTTTAAGACTAATTACATTTTTTGAGCAATTCCTGTATAAATTGTATTAATAATAATTGAAATCCTGAGAATAATATTATTATTTATTGAAAATAATTGAATTATTGCAAAAAATTTTATTAAAATGTTCTAAAAAAAATTTAATTTCTGTGAAAAATTTTATTATTTTTGAAAATAATTAAATTCTTCATAAGAATTTTCTAAACGTTATTTTAAATAATTAATTTTTTCGAAATATAATAAATATTGTGAAAATTTTATTTTAAATAATTGAATTCTTGTGAACAACTTTATTTGTGAAAATAATTGAATTTTTCGATTAATTAATTTAAAATAGTATTTAAAAATAATTGAAATTCTTTGATGAGTTTTATTATTTACGAAAATAATTGAATTCTTGCTTAAAATTTTATGAAAATCTTTTTTTTAAAAATTGAACTTCCATGAAAAATGTTATTATTAGTGAAAGTAATTGAATTATTGTGAAGATACAAATTTTGTTATATAATTGATTTTTTCTAAATTTTTTTAAAAATTCTATTCTAAATTATAATCGAAACCCTGTGGAAATTTTATTATTTATGAAAATAATTCAATTTTATCAATTTTTCTGTTAAATAATTGAATTTTTTTGCGAAATTTTATGAAAATTCTTGATATTGAAAATAATTGAATTATTGCGAAAAATTTTATTAAAATGTTTAAAATGAATTGAATTTTTGTGAAGAATTTTGATATTTTTGAAAATAATTGAATTTCTTCGATGAGTTTTATCATTTATGAAAATAATTGAATTCTTGCTTAGAATTTTATCAAAAATTTTTTTAAAAAATTGAATTTCCATGAAAAATGTTATTATTAGTGAAAGGTATTGAATTATTGTGAAGAATTGTATAAAATTTTTTTCGAAATTTGTTTGAAAATGCTATTTTAAATTAATGGAATTTCTGGGGAAATTTTATTATTTATTATGATAATAATTGAATTTTGGGTGAATTGTATAATTTTTTTTTTAAATAATTGAATTCTTTTGCAAAATTTGATGAAAATAATTGAATTTTATAATTTTTTTTAAAAATAATTGAATTCTTTTGCGAAATTTGATAAAAAAAAAATTTAGATATTGAAAATAATTGAATTTCGAATATTTCATGAAAATAATTGAATCATTTTAAAGAATTTTATACTTTTCGATTATTCGAGGAAAAATTGAGCGTACGAAATTTGTAAAATAAAATTATTGTTTCAGGCCTACGTAGGCAATTATACATCGGAATGGGATTTGGTTGGTTCAAGATTTCGCAATGAATTACCAATTTCCCCTTGGGACGCAATGCGATATGGATGGGAAGCTTGCGAGGCATTGCTGAGAGATGAAGCTTCCGTAACGGTTTTGAGAAAACCAGAAGGCAACCCTCAAGCTCGTTGGGACGTTGCAATTTTAGATGGTGCTTATCCTGAGTGCCTGCTAGGGATTATTCACGGCGAACGAATACCCACTATCATGTTGAATACAGTAAGGAATTTTAAATTTTATCAAATATTCAACAAACACACATAATAGAGGAGAAATTTGCTTCTATACATATTTATGAAATCCTCGAAAATTCTGGTGAGAGAATTTTTTCTAAATAAATACATTTAGAAAAAAAAATCTTTTCACACTTCTTCTTCTTCTTCTTCCTCTTCTTCTTCTTGCTTTGAAATATGCTGTCATAAACGATTTATTTATATTTTTTTTTCTTTTTTAACTGCTCTTTAAATTTCATAATTATTATAGTTAAAAATAACTATAATTTTGCATATTTAAAAAAAAATTATTATTAAATTATTTCAATTAATTAATTATTGTAAAACATGAAGAAATCGATTACTCCGAGTCAAAGACTCGAAGTGATCGATTTCTTCATGTTTTATAACAATATTCTTATAAGTTACTGAATTTCGAATTTTTGAAAATTATATATATTTAAGGCTTAAAATTTATCACTCGATGATATCAACAGACTTCGCACTCGATAATTAATTTTAAAAAAGTAGCAAAAAGTATAACTTTCAAACTAAAAAAAGTAGTAAAAAAGTGGCTATCGAAAAAGTAAACTTGACGACCAAAAAAACTCGTTTTATACACTAATAAATTGAATTTCTACAACGAATCTTATTATTCATGAAAGAATTTAAATATTTATCAAAATAATATTTAATATTTGCGAAGAATTTTAAAAACATTTTTAAATAATTGATTTTTTTCGAATAATTTTATGTGAATTCTAATTTAAATAATTGAATTCCTTAGAAATTTTTATTATTCATAAAAATAATTGAATTCTTAAGAAGATTTTTACAAAAAATATTTTTAGTAAATGAATTCTGTTTGGAAATTTTATAAAAATAGTAGATATTGAAATTCATTATGAAATGCGAAAATTTTTTTAAAATAATTCAATTTTACAAAGAATTCTATTAAAATTTTTGATAATAAATTTAATTTCTGTGTGGCATTTCATTAAATTTTTTTTAAAAATAATTAAATTCCTAAAAAACATTTTATTATTTATGAAAATAATTGAATTCTTGCGAACGATTTTATTAGAATCCTTAGATATAATTGAATTTCCAAGAAGGAATTTATTACTTATAAAAATAATTGAATATTATTATTTATGAAAATAATTGAATTTTGCAAAGAATTTTATTAAAATGCCTCAAAAGAATTAAATTTTCAAGAATAATTTTGTTATTCATCTTTAATAAATGGATTCTTTCGAAGAATTATTTATGTGAATAATTGAATTCTTTGGAAAAATTCTATTAAAATTTTCCAAAAATAAGTAAATTCCTGAGAAGAAGTTTATTATTTATGAAAATAATTTAATTTTATTAATTTTTCTGTTAAATAATTGAATTCTTTTGCGAAATTTTATGAAAATTCTTGATTTTGAAAATAATTGAATTATTGCGAAAAATTTTATTAAAATGTTTAAATTTATGAAAATAATTGAATTCTTGCTTAGAATTTTATCAAAAATTTTTTTAAAAAATTGAATCTCAATAAAAATCTTATTGTTAGTGAAAGTCATTGAATTATTGTAAAGAATTGTATAAAAATTTTGTTAAATAATTGATTTTTTCTAAATTTAAAAAAAGTTCTATTCTACATTTAATTGAATCCCTGTGGAAATTTTATTTATCTATGAAAATAATTGAAATTCAGATAAATTTTATCAGTTTTTCTTTTAAATAATTGAATTCTTTTGCGAAATTTTATGAAAATTCTAGATATTGAAAATAATTGAATTATTGCGAAAAATTTTATGAAAGTGTTTATAAAGAATTGAATTTCCGTAAAAAATTTTGTTATTATTGGAAATAATTGAATTCTTTATTAGAATTTTATAAAAATTGTTTTAAATAATTCAGTTTTTCAAAATATAATGAATATTGTGAAAATTTTATTTTAAATAATTGAATTATTGTGAAAAACTTTATTTGTTATAATAATTGAATTTTCCGATTAATTAAAAATAGTATTAAAAATAATTGAATTTTTCGACTAATTAAAAATAGGTATTAAAAATACTAAATTAAAATTAATTAATTATTAATTAATAATAATTAAAAATAATTGAATTTCTTCGATGAGTTTTATTATTTATAAAAATAATTGAATTCTTTCGCGAAATTTTATGAAAATTCTTGATATTGAAAATAATTTAATTATTGCGAAAAATTTTATTAAAATGAATTGAATTTCTGTGAAAAATTTTGTTATTTTTAAAAATAATTTAATTTCTTCGATGAGTTTTATTACTTATGAAAATAATTGAATTCTTGCTTAGAATTTTATCAAAAATTTTTTTAAAAAATTGTATTTCCATGAAAATTGTTATTATTAGTGAAAGTAATTGAATTATTGTAAAAAATTGTATACAAATTTTGTTAAATAATTGATTTTTTCTAAATTAAAAAAAAATTCTATTCTAAATTAATTGAATCCCTGTGGAAATTTTATTATCTATGAAAATAATTTAATTTCGAATTTTTTTTTGAAAATAATTGAATCGTTTTGAAGAATTTGATTATAATTTTTGAGAATAGTTTTTTGATTTCTAGTATTAGTTACAACTTTAATTAAAGTAGTAAAAATTCTCAACAAAAAAAAACAGAAATAGTAGCTTTTAGTAGATGAGTGCGAAACCTGTATTAATTAAAAGATGTAATTCTTAAAAAAATATTGTTAAAACAATAAAAAATTAAACTATAGGTACTTTAATAAATCATATTAAAATAATTTTTAGAAAAATTATTTAATCATACAATTTTTATACAATATTTATTATTATTTAATTATTCATTTATTATTGTTTCTTTCATCCATAAATTTCAATATTTATATAAAATTTTGAATATTCACGAGAATCACACAAAATGACAAATAAAAACCGCTGCCAAGTTGTATATTTTTTTTATAATTTTGGTGCTCATTTCATGAACACTTTACTTCCACATAGAGATAATAATAATAATAGGAAAATATATGAATAACTTTTTATAAATATGGTAAAAGTGATTGAATCTTGGGTCAATCAATGTATTTTTAAATACTCTACACTATAGTTATAATAGTTTAATAGTTAAACAAAAATTTTCAAACAAAAAAGTTGAGAAAATGTCATTTTCCACAATTTTTGGTTTTTAAAATACCAATAATTTCGAAATTTATTATCGAATTAGGTTCAAAAATAGGTCAATCGAAGCGTTTTTTGAGGCTCTACAAGTCGGTAACGATAATTTTAAGATTACTTCTACATTTTTCAACAAAATTTTCAAAAAAGTCTTATTTTCCAAAATTTTGAATTTTTAAATTTTTAATATCTCCGGTTAATATGGACGAAAAATGTTCAATTAGGGCTCAAAAGATGCGTCTAAAAAAACTCTACAAAATTATGGAAAAACATTTATAAGTGTCCTAACATTTTTTTAAAGTTATGGGCAAAAAACGTTTTTTTGCAAAATTAAAAATCCAAAAAAAATTTAGTTAAACTTTATTAATCTATCTCAAAGTACTCTCATTTTATGTCCGCAGGTGAGATCTACAATTTAAAAAAAAATCCAACCCAAAAGCTCTTCATGATTTCGAGATATTTATGAAAATGTGATGTTTACACACACACACACACACACACACATACGGAATGACATTTTTTAAAAATGTCATTTTTGAACTCCTGAGGTCAAATAACATAAAGATATGTCAAAAAATCGAACTCGAAAAATTTCGGTATTACAATACTTCCTTTATGAGGAAGTAATATTGAAAATTATTGAAATGTAAAATTCAATTTGAAATTTAAATCAAAAAATAACAAATATAAATTATATTTTTGAAGGTTCGAAAAATAAAATCAATATAGAAAAAAAACTATATAAAAAATAAATTTTCTTGTTAAGAGAAAGAAATTTTTTTTTTTACAATTTTTAAACATTGTCAAAAGAGTGTATTATAATATATAGTTATATATTATATTTTTATAATGTAAAATTGTGTCATCATATTTTTCCATTTTAATTTTTAAAAAATACTATAAATAATAATAATACATAATTAAAAATATTTTCCATTACTAGAAACTATGAAATTTATTTTTAAACACGTAAATAAAAGAATAATATTCATAATATAATTTTTTGCAGAAAAATGTGACGTCAATTTTTAAAATTAAAAATTCCATTCCATGACGAATCGTTAAAAATTATTTTTTATTAACATTTTTTGGCCTTGAATTTTTTTACGCTTGATTTTTGTTTAATAAAACAGAGTACAAAGAATTTACAGTGATTTGATTAACACATATTTGTATGGTCAAATGTTTGAAATTTTTATGAAAGAAACGTCGCCTGATTTTTCCATTGACAGAAATATACGTGCTCTGTGTAATGAAAAAATATTCTTTATTTAAGTCGACCTCCAGAGCTTGAATTTTTCATTTTTATTTTCAATTTCATAATATATTTCAAAAACTTTTTTTAAATTTATTTTATTGATCAAACTATCTGCTTTTAGCGAGTCCTTTTCATTCACATTTTTTTCTTGTAAATATTATTTTTTTTAATTATTATTTTATTATTATATTGTATAAATTTTCCTATAAATATTTCTATACACGTCACTATATGGAATTGTTATTTATGAATTCGACTAAATTATTATTATTTTTATTATCATCATAATTATTCTATTAATTATATTATCATTATTATTTTTTTTAGTCGGAAGTGAAAAATCTGGAAAAATTCAGATATTATTATTATCATTATTATTATTAGTATTATTATAATTATAATCATGATCGGTATTATTTTTTTTATTAAATGATCATTTTTATTATTATTCTAACCTTCTGCTTATTAAACGGTGAGAAAAAGGGAAAATATGTTCCTCTAATTAGTATTTGAGAGGCATTACTACAAACAGGAGAAAAAGCACTTCAAAGCATATTTATTTTCCAGAAAACGGATATTTATACGGCACTAATTAATTCCCGGTAAATTAATTCTTATTCAGGAAGGAGACTAAAAAATTGTTTTTCTTGTGATTATGCGCAAAAATTTTAATTGCTCTTTTTCCTAAAATAAATAGATTTTGTTATTTAATTTATTATCATCGCAATATTTTCAAATTTATTTTACTAAATAATTTATATTCGAAAATAAAATTATTTTTCTATGATTTTAAATTCTAATTAGTAGTATATAAAAAGCGCAGAAATAGTAGACGATTTAAATCAGTTAAATAAATTAAACGGGATTTTTTTAATTACGACGTTAAACTAAGAAAATTTTTAATTTATTTATTTTTTAATCCTAAATCAAATTCATCTGTTTCAAAGAGAAAAAAGAAAAAATATAAATTTATATTTCATATATAAAAGACAATAAATTTTAATTTATATAATACAAACTGTAAATCACAATACAAAATCGTTTAAAATTCGAAAATTTACAATCTGTCTGGAATAATTTAAATAATAGAAATAAATATAATAAAATAAAAATAATATAAATAATAATAAAAATAATATAAATAATAATAAAAATAATAGTTTAATAATAAAACCTTTAATTATAATTAGAGCCTCTTTGAGTAATGAAATCCTTTGGCATTTCAATTATCTGAAATTAATTTGTTTGATAGTTGAAATGTTCTTGGACAATTAAATAAAATCGTACAAAAGTAATTCAAGTATATATGTGTGCGATAATTAAAAACTCTTTATTAATTATTTTTTTGTTATCAAACATCTTTGATGCTTTTTTTTATAAATGAAATGAAAAGAAATTTATCAAATTTTAAAAATCTCACAAGCACGGAGAAAAATATTTCTTTGATCACAAAATATTATATTGACTAATAAAAATAAAAACACCAAACGAATGATTTCTTTAAATATTATCGACTTTCTATTTGCTCCAAATCAAATTTTTCTCTTGATTAAACACATCAATTTAAGAGAAAATTTTTCTTTTACTCAATACTTTTGAAAATTATTTTTTCGTACATTCGAAAATACAAATGTTTATAAAAACAAATAAAGTTTTTTCAATTCAAACAAATTTCAATTTTTAAGCTAAAAGGTTTTTTTAAAAAAATTAAAACATTTTTTTTTTAAACACCATTTTTTTGTTTCAAACAAATATTTTCTCTGTGAGTAGATATATTAATAAATTCTAGATTTTTAATAAAATTTCACTAAATTCCATATTCTTTTACATAAACTAAAATTGCTTATTATATTAAAATTTCCTCTTTTCGTCGCATTTAAATTAAAAAATACCTTTACAAAATTTCATCATATTATTTTCTTTCCGTGTGTACTTATTAATAAAAAAAAATAGTGCGATAAAACAATTTTTCTTTAAGTATATATATTAAAAATATTTTATTTACTTTTAAAAAAGATATTTTTTTGTAAATTTGTTAAAGAAAAATTTGTCACAGAAAAATTTGTTATAGAAAAATTTAATATAAAACTTTCATCCGTGCTTTTAAAAAAAGTTGTGTTTTTTTCTTAAACGTTTCTAGGTCGCTCTATACACTGGTTCAATCACACGTCAAGGGAATCCATCCCCATGGGCTATCAGACCTTATTTCGGCAAAGCTTTCACGCAAGATATGAATTTCCTTCAAAGAGTTTTAAATGTCGCATGTCTGATGACTTTAGAAGTAATGCATTGGATCATGATTACGGGATATCTACAGCCCACTTTGAGAAAATATTTAGGTAACTGTATACAAAAAAAGTTAATAGAAAAAAAATTTTTAATTTAGAAAAAAAAAGTTTTCAATTTCGAAAAAATATTGTCGTTCATTTTAACGGCGATATTTTTATTACTTCTTTTAAGTATTTTTTTTACATTTTTTTTATACTAGGAAAATTAACTCTTGACTAGGTAAATATTTAATTTTTTTCCATTTTTATGAAGTAATTTTTAAAAATATTGAAGCAGAAAAAAAGTTTCGTTCAAAAATTTAGGAAAATTATTTTTATATAAAATAATTGAATAATTTACGTTATATGAGCATTTTGTGGATGACCTCCAAATAATTTTATACGTGAGCAGTCTCTTTCTCTCTCTAAATATATAAATATAATTAAAAATTCTGGCTGTTTGTGAGATAGAAATTGGAGCGTATATTAATTATTTTTGAAAATTTATTAATTTATAAATCGCATTAACTCTCAAACGAGTGAAAATTTTCGGAAATGATATTATATTTGTTTTGAAAAGAGCAAGGTTGAAGCAATTGCAAATTTTAATAAATAAAATTGGTAATAAAATTATTGTGTCAAGTGCGCTACTATAAATTCAATCCAAACATTATTTTTAAATTCTTAATGAACTTTTTCATATTTATCTATACGTACTTCAACACATAAATAAAGAGAATAAATGTAAAAAATAATTTACCACTATAAATGTGTCAATAAATAAATATTTACGAATCAAATAATTTTCATTTAAATCAAATAAATTGCATTCCAGCCAATAATTTTCAATAATTTTTAATAATTTTACGGAAAATTATATATTAAAATTATTATTTTAAAATATATTTTTTATTAAAAAATTTGCTTCAGGTAAACATTTATTTAATAATATCCCAGTTATCGGTTATTTGAATAAAATAAATTTCTTTTTTAATGTTTGAATTAAATTTTAAATGAAAGTAATGTATATAGACATATTTATCCCAGAGCCAAAGAAAAAAATTTGTTTGCTAAAGACAAATTTTATTTAACAGAAATACAAGTATTAACTAAACAAGAAAAAAATATAATAAATTCAACATTTACAAAATTGAATTAAATTAGAAACAACATATTTTCTAACAAAATTTAAATTTTAACGCGAAATAGGTATAAAAAAATTGCAGTTCGAATCTTTAGGGAAATCAAATAAATTTATATGAAACGTGAAGTTTTATTGGCTATGAGTTAAATATATATAACTTTTTTATAAGGGTATAATATACAATAAAATAAATAATAATATTAATGATAATAATACACTGAAAAAAAAAATTATTTGATTCAAATAACCGATTAATTGACTTATTATCAATTAAATATTTAATTAAATCAAATAATATTTATATTGGAGTCAATTAAATGGTTCACTTCATATTTGCTTCAAATACTGAAATTATTGGTTTAAATATGAATTGAACCATTTAATTGACTCCAATAAATATTATTTGATTCAAGTAAATATTTAATTGATAATAGTCAATTAATCGATTATTTAAATCAAATACATTTTTTTAGTGTAATAATACGTTTATTTAACATAAAATATATTTCATTTAAATAAAATTTGTCTCTGGGTGTATATTATTGAGGATTATGAAATATTTTAATAAATGAATTTTACAGGAGATCAAGTCCCAGACGTGAGGGATCTTGTTTCGGAGGTACCATTAACTTTGCAAAATAATCACTATTCTGTTGCCGATTCTGTTCCCAATTTGTCAAATGTGGTTAACGTAGCTTGCCTCCACTGCAGACCAGCCATGCAGCTAAGTCCCGAATTAGAGTCCTTTCTAAGACGAGGTGAGTCAATATAACTCTCTATCCAATATTATTGAAATTTTCACATCAATTACAATAATTATAAACATTCCAACAATCATTTTTTCAGCATAAAGACTTTCTTTTGTTAAACACTAATTACTACTCCAAAACTAAACATTGGAATTACTGTTTGTATAGTAATTCCTCTTATATACACTCTCAAAGAAATATTTTATTCAAAATTTATTTGTAAGATGAAAAAATATATATTTTATCTCAGATTCAACACAGAAAAAAAAATTTATTTGATTCAAATAATATTTTTTTTTTATTTCGAATAATAAATTTATTATTGGTCCAAATAAAATGTTTTTTTCAAGTAAATAAAATTTTTATTTTGCAATTAATATAAATTGATTTGAATCACATAAAATATAAATATGTAGGTTAGTAGACTCTAAAATAAATTTACGTTTTTTTCTGGTTTTAAAATCCGATAATAAAATTAAAACATACCAACAAATTATTTTATTTAAACTAATTAAATGGTATCTGTTTTTAAATTGGTAGAAATGACTATTTATTAATAAAATTTATTAATTCAAAAGCAAAAATTCAATCACTAATTAAAATTATCAAATATTTTTACTTATTCAGAGAGCAAAGAAATATTTATTTGATAATACACAAGTAATCGATTTATTTGAATCAAATAAATTTTTTTTCACTGCTGTAAATGAAAATTTATGAAGTCAGACCAAAATTTTCTCTAGAATGAAAATGGAAAAAACAAAATTAATAGAAAAAATTATACCTGCGACATTACAAATTTTATACGCACCTAATGTATAATTTAAAAGAGCAAAAAAATAAAGAGAAAAAAAGTTTCATACACACACAATAAAAAGCTAGTAGGGAAAATTACGTCCAGTCAGACAAAAATCAGAATATTTCAGTGAAAAAAAGTTATTTAGTCAGACAAAAGTCAATTCTTCAATATCCCAATGGGAAATGCCAGTGTAGTGCCGATGTTCACCACTGGCTTAGTACTCAGACGATTGTTCGGCGTAGTCTAGCCGAGCCTCGACAATTAGTGCTGGCGCAGTACAGAATTTTTGTTTCGCCAAAGCTTGGACAAGGCTCGGCGGCAAGTGCTGGCTGAGTATAGAAAAATTGTTCACAACGCTCTTTGCCAACATTGCTTTTTTGACATAAACTTGAAAAAAATTATAAAAAAAGTTTATAAATGTTTATAAATATAAATTTATTGAAAAAAATTAATATTTTACTTTTCAGTTGTTCATTTTTTATTCTTATTAAATTTAATAATAACAATTTAACACAATTGTCTAATTTTGTAAATAATAAATTATTTAAACAAATTAAAATTATAAACAAAATTTAAACTTTAATCTCAATAATAATTTGGTTCCTATTAAAATACTATTATACTTCTTACTATGAATAAAAAATTATTAATAAATTACCACGTAATTTAAGAATTACGTAAAATGTTAAATGCAATAAGTAAAGTAATTTAATTTAATTATTAAAAATTTAGTTTAATTTATTTGATTTCAATTTATTATTTCTAACGTATCCCTATTTTTTTCTCATCTTTGACTCAATAATTGTATGTCTGAATGATACTGAGATATTAATACTTTACTGTAGGCATGTGTCGTTAGCATAGTGGTTAGAGCGTTAGTCTGTTAGTCCGTAGGTCGTAGGTTCGATTCCCCTCGTCAGCAATTTTGTTTATTTTCATAGGTTTGCGATATTTCTAGATTCCAATCGTTAGGTACTAAAATATGAAAATCTAATGCACACTTACTGTAATTGTTTATTATTTAATTTTTAAATGTTATAAACAATTTTTTTCTACTTCATTTACTATATCCATTATTAGTCTCCATCTTTAATACAATTTCTTTAAGAAGAGAAATATTTTATGAATAATAACTATTTATTAATATTATTTACCATTTTGTTGTTAAATAATTTATAATTATGAATTTACGACCAATTAATAACAATACGGCATTTATTGCGGCAATATTCTCAGCCAGCACTGGTCCAATGCTGCGCCAGCGCTGTCTGGCAGCACTGACAGACAGTACTTCGGCAGCGCCAGACGGCGTTATCATCCCAGTGCCATGCCAGTGCTGGCTCTCAGCCTTGCCGCCAGTGCTGCCAGTGCTGGCGCAGTACTACGCCAGTTGTTAATTTCCCATTGGGATATAGAAATAAAAACAGTAGTAAAAATTTTAAGCAAACACTTTTTTTTCTATACGTATGCATGAAGATAAAAATTTCACTCTTTTATGTAATCAGATGAAACCAATGTGTATTTCACACACGTAGAAACAATATGTATGCGTCAGACAAAGTGGAAAAAAACGGCGTATATAAAGTCAGACAAAATTCACAAATTCAGTGAAAAAAAAGTTATCGAGTCAGACAAAAAATCACCTCCTATATATGAAAAGAAACAGAAATACTAACAACTTTTTTTTCCGGAAAATTTTTTATATAGACGAATAAAAAAATCTACAAACTATGGTGGATATCGCACGTCAAAAGTTCACCTAAAAAAAAAAAATGTTGTCCAATTATTCCCAAATTTTTTTTTATGATATGCCCTATAGGTTAGTAATTTGTCGGATAAATTTTTTTGAATTTTATAAAAAATTGTTCGAGGGGGAGGGGGTAGAAGTTCTGAACTTTTGCGTGACACGCTCCACTTTGATTATTTCTTATAATTAGAGGAAAAAATTTTTAAAAAAAATTAGGATATGGGTTTTTTAGATTCTTTCATGGGCTTTCGAATGGCACAGTCTATTTTCAAAAATTTTTTTATTTTGACACAAATTTTGAAAAAATAAAAATAAATTTTCACTTTTCGCATCTGTGGGTCCATTTTTTCTTTTTCCTTTTATTTTTAAAAGAAAGCTGAGCTTTTTTCTGATGAAATACTTGTTTTCCAAAAAACCGTTTTTTTTTTTGTTTTCAAGAAATGAATTTTTGAATATAGCGCATCACGTCGTCGCGCCGCAATTTAATTTATAAAACGTTACATTTAACTTTTTTCTGCATTTTACAGGGTTGAGACTGAGATTAAAATAATATAATGCCTGCATTAGTTTTTCTATATTTTTTAAATTAAAAAAAAATTTAATTTTTTTAAATTTTTAACAAAACTTTTTTAAAAATTTTTTTTAGACTTTTATTTCTAATTTAATGCCTACATTTTATTTATTTTCATTTCTTCCCATTTTTTTTATTTTTTGATGTTGAAAAATTTCCTCTGCCATTCGAAAGATGAAAAAATCTAAAAAACCTATATCCTAATTTTTTCTAAAATTTTTTCCTCTAATTATAAGAAATATAGGGCATATCATAAGAAAAATTTGGGAATAATTGGACAACATTTTTTTTTTGGGTGGACTTTTGACGTTATATCCACCCTATGTGTATTTCAAGTAGACAAATTTGACACGTATCGGACGAAGTAGAAAAAGAAGAGCTAAGTCAGCCAATATTCACGTTTTTAATCTGAATAAATATTTTATTCAAATAAAATTTTATTTAAATCAAATAAAAGTTTGATTTAATTTGGAATAAAATTTTTATTTGAATCAAATGTAATGATTATTGTAACATAATTATGTATCAATGTTAATATGAATAGTCGCTTATGACCCACATTGTTAAAGTGACTTTAAATAAACATATTAAAAAAAAAAAATTATATTTGGTATAAATAATTCTCTGGGTGTAATATTTCTTAAAAAATGTATTAATGTATTAAAAGAATAATAATTATTATAAATAATCAAAATTTTTAATTTTGTCTTCATTTTTAATAACACACAGTTTTTTTGAAAGTATTATATTGATACTAAATAGTGGATCAAATGATTATAGGACAAAAAAATCTAATCCAAAAAAGTCCACATCGAAAAATCCAAGAAAAAAAGTCCAAAGTACAAAAAATCCAAAATAACAATGTCCAAAGTCAAAAAATCCAAAATAAATAAAAACGTCCAAAATAAATGTGAAAAAGCCACGTTTTTACTTTTTACGTTATAAAATTGGAATTTAATATTAATGTTCAAATCGAAGAATTTTAGTTATTTATACATAAATAATAAAATTCTACACAAAAATTCAAATTCAAATTCAAAAATTCTTCACAAAAATTCAATTATTTTCATAAATAAAAAAATTTCTAGAAAAATTCCAATTACTCTATAGAATTTTTAAAACAATTATTCCAAGAAATACAATATTATTATTTTTAACAAATTTTGATAAAATTCTTTATAAAAATTAAATTATTTTTTTCAATATAATTCCAATTAAATGACTCGATTAATTTAATTTTTTTCAGAAATTTAAAATGTTAAGTTTATCTACTTTCGAAATTCTTTACAAAAATTCAATTATTTCCATAAATAAAAAAATTTCTAGAAAAATTCCAATTTTATTCTATAAAATTTTTAAAACTTATTCGAAGAAATACAATTATTTTCAACAAATTTTGATATAAAATTCTATACAAAAATCCAATTATTTTTTTCAATATAATTCCAATTAAATTACTCGAATAATTTAATTATTTTTAGAAATTTAAATGTTAAAAGTTTACTTTCGATTCACAGTCTTCGAAATGAACAACTCAAAAAAAAGGACAATTTCATTCAAGACAACCATTTAAAATTTTATATCTCAATTTTTTCCATTGGATTTTCAATTTCTTTGAACAAAAAAAATGCAAAAAATAAATCCAAAGTGAAACTATTATTTTTTTACTTTTTTGGATTTCATTTACTTTGGATTTTTTGGTTTGGACTTTTTGTCCGGATACCGAATCAAATTAATGACAAAAATTTAGATCAATTTTTGATTTGATCCACGTTTTTGGTATTAATTCGTTGTAATTTGATACTTTTAAAAGTTAATAGTGCAGTCAGTAATTTTGGAAAATATTTATATTGGCAAAAAATTTCGTTCATTTAAACTTTTAGTGCATTATTTGGTTTAAAAAATCATTTGGTTGATTAAAATAAATTTTGCATTCAAAGAAAGAATTAAGTTGAATAAAATAAATTTTGCATTCAAAGAAAGAATTTGGTTGGATAAAATAAATTTTGCATTCAAAGAAATATTTTGGTTTATCAGAAGCAATTTTTTAGTTGAACCGCAAATAAATATTTCTTTGTACAGCAATGCTATACAGCTGATAAGGCTATTTTTATTTAATTCAATCAAAATTTGGTTGTTTCAAACAAATATTTCCTTGAGTAAACAAAAATTTATTGAGTTAGAACAAAATAATATCAATTTAATATTCTTAATCCAAATATATAAAAATAAGTTTACCAACTCTCTAAATTTGTATTAGCAAAAACTAAAAATGTTTACTAATTTGAATTAGTGGCTGACTTTTTGCTTTTGAATTAGTAAAATTTACTAATAAATTAGTAGAAATTACTATTTAGTTAAATAATAGTAAAATTTAGTAATATTTAGTAAAATATTAGTAAACTTTAGTAATATTTAGTAAAATTTACTAAATTGAGAAGCAAAAAGTAAACATTTCGACTAATTCAGTGGAGAGAAAAACGGACGTCAATTAAAACTGGAAAATCGTCGCACTAAAATATATACTCAAATACTTTTCTTCTTCCAAAAACCCTATTTTTCATCTTTACCTTATTATATTACTATATTCCTATAAAAAGAAGATAAATAATATTGAAAGCGAGACGTGAACTTTAAAAAATCACTTTTTTTGTAAATGGAATAGCATTGTAGCAGAGAGAGACTTTACTTCGGCAATATATATAACGTCGAGGAAAAACTGGGGAAACATATATATATATAAAGAAAAAGCAGAAAAAAAAAGTTTTTTTTTAGGATTTATCTTCGTTTCAATGGGTTCGTCGGTCCGAGCATCCGGAATGCCGGAGGCTCTTCGATCGATGTTTGTGGCAGCCTTCTCAACCCTGCCATTCAATGTCGTTTGGAAATGGGAAGGTGGCAAGATTAAAGATCTACCGCCAAACGTTAGAACTGGTGCTTGGTGGCCTCAACAGGAACTTTTGGGACATCCCAAATTACGAGCATTTGTATCTCACGGTGGCCTACTGTCCCTTCATGAAGCTGCTTACCATGGTTCTCCAACCCTGGTGCTTCCGGTCTTTTGCGACCACGACGGAAATGCAGCACAGGCTGGTTAGTTTAGCAATATATTATATATCATTTTTACTTTTTTTATTTTAACGTATTTATGTCTCGTTACAGTAGTAACCGGACAGTATAGTATGTTAAAATACGCGTTTTACACAATAAATATTATTTATTTATTATATCCACTATTTATAGTGAAAAAAATTTTACGGAAAAAAATTTTATTTCAAAATTTAACAAACAGATTATTAAACTTTGGGATGTTCGATGTTTGCTACAAAATTTTAATAGAGTCACTATAGTAAAATATCATAACTAAAAGAAAAGAATTTGCTTTTTTCGCTGTGAAAATTTGCTACTGACACGAATAATTAATTTTGTATATATATAGGGTGGATTCCACGTCAGTTCAACACACTTATTTTCATGACTTGTTGGTATTTGGCTGTACTTTTGTAAATTTATTACTTTTATAGTGATAAACAACTCCACCAAATATTTTTTCAAAATTTTGAAAATTACCAAAAATATGGCATTTTTAAAATTATTGTCTTTTTTTTGAAAGTGCTATAACTTTGGTTCTAATTAACCGATTTTGGATTAAAAAAATATGATTTCTTTGGTTTTAAGTATATTTTAAGTTGAAATTAAAATAAAAAAAAAAAATTCAAAAAATTTTTTTTTTTGAAATTTTGAAAAATTAAAAATCTGTTTTTGAAAAAACATCATCTTCGATTTTTTTCAAAATTTTACTAAATTTTAGGGCAAATGTGCTTAACATGTCCTTTAAGTTTCATCTTGGGATCTCAAAGGGATTCGGAGTAAAAAAATAAAACGTAACCACAAATTACGAACATGTGGGGCAAAATTCCTCAACTGACCAGGTAAAAAAAAGAATTTTCTCTAAACTTTGCTAAAATGTTACTATTATTAGTAGAAGTGTAAATATTAATTTTTTTTGAATTTGATAAAATATTTTTTGAGTTATGGAGTTTCAAAATTTTGATTTTTTTGAAAATATCTTTTTTTCGATTTAATATATTGATAAATAAAATTAATCAAATTTAAAGTATGAATAGTGATTTTAAAGGGGTTTTCACGGGCTATAAGCTGGTGATGAAAAAAAACTTGTTTTATGTCAATTTGTCCTTGAAATTCAAGGTCAAATTCTTAATTTCAATATACAGTAGAACCCGGTTAATACGATTCCGTTTAATAGGATTTCCCGCTTAAGACGCACATTTATGGTGGTCCCTGCAATTAAAAACATACATTTTATATCCCGCCTAATACGTTTTCCCGCATAAGACGCACTCTTAGTGCGGTCCCTACAGAATCGTATTAACCAAGTTCTACTGTATCTCAAAATCAGTGTTTTTTATTTTTTTCTAGCTTTTCCCAATCCTAAGCTTACCTTTTTTCATATGAGCCATGTAAAAATCAAAGTGGGACCATGAAACTTTTTGAAAAAATTAATTATAAATCATCATTTTCTATGTAAAATAATGATAAATTATTATTTTCCTCAAAAATTCTGATGGTCCCACTCTGATTTTTAAATGGCTCATAGATAAAAGGTCACCAGCTTATAGCCCGTGAAAACCCCTTTAAAAATCACTATTCATACTTTAAATTTGATTAATTTTACTTATCAATATATTAAATCGAAAAAAAGATATTTTCAAAAAAATCAAAATTTTGAAACTCCATAACTCAAAAAATATTTTATCAAATTCAAAAAAAATTAATATTTACACTTCTACTAATAATAGTAACATTTTAGCAAAGTTTAGAGAAAATTCATTGTTTTACCTGGGCAGTTGAGGAATTTTGCCCCACATGTTCGTAATTTGTGGTTACGTTTTATTTTTTTACTCCGAATCCCTTTGAGATCCTAAGATGAAACTTACAGGACATCTAAAGCACATTTTTCCTAACATTTAGTAAAATTTTGAAAAAAATCGAAGATGATGTTTTTTCAAAATCGGATTTTTAAGTTTTCAAAATTTCAAAAAAATAATTTTTTTGAATTTTTTTTTTATTTAAATTTCAACTTAAAATATACTTAAAACCAAAGAAATTCTTTTTTTAAAATCCAAAATCGGTTAATTAGAACCAAAGTTATAGCACTTTCAAAAAAAAAAAGACAAAAATTTTGAAAATGCCATATTTTTGGTAATTTTCAAAATTTTGAAAAAATATTTGGTGGAGTTGTTTATCACTATAAAAGTAATAAATTTACAAAATTGTTGCCAAATCCCAACAAGTCATGAAAATAAGTGTGTTGCACTGACGTGGAATCTACCATAGTAGACATTGAATAGCCCGCAGGTTTAATAACACTGTGTGACAGTAAAATGGCACTTTAAATCGGACCTATACCTAACTTGTTCGTCTCGAAAAACTAAAAAAAGTAGTATGTTTGAAATTTCCCAAACACCCCCAAAATTTAATTTTAGGGGCAAAAAACAGTTTTTTGTGTATTCATGTAAAGAATTACTCAAAATAAAAATTGACAAAACCGCGGTTGAAAATATTTGCGATTTATCGATTTTCCTTCAATTTCTTCAACTTTAACGAGGTTTTTAGAATAATATTCGAATTTAAAGATTTTTTTCATAATAATATCTTAAAAGTATACTTAATTCTGCGTAAAATGATTATTTTTTGAAAAAATTTTAATGCAAATTGAGATTTTAAAATTTTTACGCTATATTTACAAATATTTCAAATTTGTTGTGGAATTTACATCAGGGCACTTTAAATTTTGTATTCACTAAATTTAATTGATGAACTAAAATGGCATGCATGTCAAACTTGTTTTGGATGGATTTAAATAAAGACACAGTCCGTATTTAGAGGGGGGGGGTCCGGTTAAATTTTAACTTTTCTATATTTATATTGTTTAAGTGTGTCAATGTTTTTCAAACATTATTTAGGATTCAATTCTATTCTATATAATCAAAATTAATAAAATTGTTCAGTATTGCGAAAAAAGCAAATAAAAAGTTCGACAATAAAAAATAATTAAAAAATGTGGTAGAAGTTCAAATTTATATTTTACGAAATTTTAAGGTATTCTTATTATTAAAATTTTGGGGATGTTTGGAAAATTTCTGACACATCATTGTTCATAGTTTTACTAGACCTACAATTTGTACTAGGTTTCTAAAAAGGGCAGTCAACTTTTTTTATTTTGTCACACAATGTAATCTATTTATTCACTTTTGAAATAAATTGCCTTTCCGTGATTATTATTATTACTATTACAGGCCTCAGATCAACTTTAACGAACAAAAAAAGTCCCTTTAGTCGATTAAAAATAGAAAAAAGTCGAAAAAGTCGTTTATTTAATTCAGTATTGTCAGAAAAAATTTTATTTTGTATTTCCATAATTCTTCACTGATTTCTAAATTCAATTAATCAAAACTTGTATAATTTTATTAAATAAATATTCAAATACTTAATTTCTTTTTTCACAGGAAATAAAATTTAAAAAATTTCAACTTCTGAAAACTAATTTCTAAAAATTAAAACTGTAACCCTTCCAGAAACTCAATTATTTTTTACAATTTTGAACTTAACTTCATCTCTAAATCAATAATCTATATTAATTTTTAATAATTTTTCAAAAATTTTTCGAGAATTCAATTATTTAAATACAAAAATTCAATTTTTTATAATAATTGAAACCACGTCCATTTTTCTTTTTAAATAATTATATTAAGGAAGAATGTTTTCAAAAATTTTAATAAAGAAATTCGTAAAATTAACTTTTTAAAAATATTTCTGAACAATTTTTTTGGTAAAATCTTTTAAAAAATAATTTAAATTTAGTAAAAGCTTTGAAAAATAATTCAAATTTGATAAAATCTTTTAAAAATAATTGAGTTTAAAAAAGTTTAAGTTCATATGTTGAATAGAAAAATTTGTTTAAAACAAATAAGAAGCCGATAATATATTTAAAGAAATTATTTATTTCATGTTATTATTTTGAGCCAAAAAAAATGTTTCTTTAAATCAAAGAATAATTTTTTCCCCGAACCAGCGAGATTTTAAAATTTAAAGTCAAAATGTTTTGTGTACAATAAATGTTAATAATGTGAAGTAAAATACAAGTATTTAAATAATAAATAATAATAATGCTCTTTCAGAATTGAAAAACGCAGTTTTAAATTGTTAGTTGCTTGAGTGCACTATCTTCCTACTATTCAGTATTTCTTTAAGTGGAATTTATTAATATAATAAAAAATCAAAACAGAATTTTTTTTCAATTGTTCAAAAATAATGTAAAAAATCCAAATTATATATATCATCGCATAATTTTTTCTTTTTCATTTTTGAAAACTTCTCGGACTGCAGCTTTATAAACTAGTTTTATATAGCTTCATACCTTCGCATTGATCGAATTTACTTCTTGACATATAAATAACGCATTTGGAAAGGGAATTTTTACTTTTCATTTTGAACTTAAATAAAATAGTTTAACTCACGAACGTTGATAAACGAAACAAATTTTCCAATAAGTATATTTCTCAAAAATAATATGCAAAAATATTGCCCCAAAAATATGTAAAAAGCACCAACTTTTTTTTGTTTCAAAAATATTTTCTCTACGTTTTTTAAAAGTAATGTACGAATATAATTATATACCTTAAACAAAATATAAATTCTACTTGAAGAAATACAGAATAGAAAGAAAGAATACACTTGATGCGGAACTAAAAATTTTGAAACTGTTTTTCAATTCTGTAAGAGCATAATATGTACCTAATATGAAATATTTGATACTTGTTCGACCCTCAAATAAATTTACAATGAGCATTGCGGAAGTTTCTTTTTAGAAGCATTGCATCTGATGTTTAATGGATATTTCTTTTGGCTCCGTCTATATATATGTAAAATTAAAAATAAAATCTTTGAGAAATAAACCAAAAACATTCAGTTCCAGTATACATGTATCGCATGGCTCTCACTTTGCCGATTTTATTTCAGATTAAATAATTGCAAATTTTCACTGGTTAACATGAAAGTATCAAATTTTAACAAATAAAAAATTTGTACTAATTTTAAATTTAAAGACCTTAAGAAAATTACACTTGATTTCATACCCAAATAGTTTTGATGGTTTTTGTCACAAAAAAGAATAATAATAATAATAACAATCATAATCAATATAGTTATATTGTTGACCCTTCTGCTATTTTTCTTAATTTTATTACGAGAAGCGAGAAAAGAAAACCACACACAAAATTTGTAAGCAAAAAAATTGATGAAATCCGCATATTATAACGCTTATTATGATAGACGATTAAATAAAATTACATTTCTCACAAGTTGAAAGTAATAAACTTTTTTATTTAAAAATGTGTCTCTCAGAAATGGTGTGTTTCTAGAAACTTTATACAAAAATTTCCTTTTATACAAAAAGTTTGCACAAAATTTGCTTAGAAAAATATTTTTTTCTCTAAATCTTTCATCATAAACTTTAAAAACTTTACACCAAAGTAGAAGAATGAACGTCAGAATTTTATATGTGTGGTTGTACTTTCCGGTGACTCATATACTAATAAACTTTCTTTTATAAAAATTCAACTTTTAAAAAAATAATATTCTAAAATTAATATATACTTATACACTGTTATTGAAATGAATATTAAAAATAATTAACGAGCACTTATAGTTGAAATTCCGTTTTACAAAATTTATTAATTATACATAAATTCTACTTTATTTTATTAAAATAAACATGTGAAAATTAAGTAAAATTAAATTCGCAATATAGATGAAATATAATTTATACTGCTGTTGAAATAAATTTTTAATAAGGAAATTGTGGCTGGTCGTATAAAATATTAAAGTAACATTAAACGGAAATTGATAACGTGAGGTCAAATTTAGTCTATTTTTTATAAAAAAAAACATTTTTTTTTACTTTTCTTTTTGTTTCAAAAATTAATAGATGCATATGCTTAGAACCGTTACATATTTGCATAGAGTTGAATGACAGGTTTCTTCTTAAAAAATGTATCGATCATTGAACCAAATACTGCGAGAGGTGAAGTTAAAGACCTTGCTAATCAAATGTAAATGCAACGTCTACATTCCAAAAGAAAAGTTTAAAATATTTATAGTAAAAGGTCTATATTTTTGTTAATTAAAATATTTTTTAAATGTATATTAATTTATCGTCCTAATTATATTTTTTAAACTCCATTTCTCTGTAAAATAATATCTAATAATTCCATTTACAAACACAGTTTTTCTGCAGATATAAAATTGAGACAAAAAACGTATCAAAACGTTGCAACGTTTTGATACGTTTTTTGTCTCAATTTTATATCTGCAGAAAAACTGTAATAAATAAATAATAACAATAATAGTAATAATTACATTTGCATTGATAGAAACAAACAAATAAATAATATTTTTTTTTCTTTAGTAGTAAAATAATAATACACTTGAAACAAAAAAGATCCATAACAATTCAATTAAAATACCCCTTTAAGTAGATTCGAAACAATTGAAATTTATAATTTTGAAGTATACCTAATAATAGCAAAGATACAAATTTTTTTTTACTTAAAAAAAATTGTCTATAACAAGCGTCTACTTCTTTTTAAAAGAAGAAAAGAACATAAAAGTTTCATGTCGAGGAGCAGACATATTTCCAAATATATAACTTGACATTTTTTATACTCTTACTTTAATTGACACGAAAATCGATTACTCTGCGATACTAATTAGTTTTGTAATATCAAATTTTATGTCTCTTTGGAATAAAATTCATTTCCAATAAATAATTTATATTATTTTATAATTTTGATAAGAGAAAAATTGTTTTCTTTTCAGAAAAACTTGGCTACGCTCTTGTTGTGGATTTGGCTAGTATATCGATAAACGATCTTCGAGAAAGTATTTTAAAAGTTGCCTCACTTGACAAAAACTCTTACAGAGAAGCTGCTAAAAGAAGAAGTGTTCTGTTAAGGGATCTCCCAGTAGGAACAAAAGAATTAGCTGCATGGTGGGTGGAACACGTGTCAAAGTACGGAGGAGCTGAACATTTACAGAGTACTGCCAGGTAAATGTTTTTTATTTTTGTTATTATTATCATTATTATTATTATTATTATTATTATTATTATTATTATTATTATTATTATTATTATTATTATTTTTCAGTGTATAATCAACAATTTAGAAAAAACATTGTCAAACTCTTTTTTAAAAAAAGAAAATTCTTTCAAAATAATTTAAATATAATAAAAAGTAATTTTTCGTTTTACAAAATAGAAGAAAATTTGACGTTTTATATATATATATTTATTTATTTATTTAAGTAGTAAACGGGACTGTGCCCTTTCGTACAAAGTACTCTTAATACTAATTTTATTGCACTAAGCAAAATTACTAAATATTATCAAAAATGAAACATAAGTAGCTGAACTTAAAATAGTGAACTACATATCTCTAAAAACAAGCTGACGCAAAAGTGTGTGAAATCTCATAGAGTTACGATCAAAAAAATCAATATCATTATAAACATCATTTGCTTCTCTACAAAGCCTGGTCATCAAAGAATGATTTCCATAATTCGTTCTATGAAATGGAACAGAGAATAAAGAAAAATACCTAGAAGGTCTTAGTGGCACACGTAAATTAATTAGTGATATAAGTGACTGACAATTAAAGAATCCATTAAATAATTTATATAAAAATGATAAATCAATATATAGGAATCTTAAAGAAACCCTTGGTATATTGAGCACAGAACGCAAGCTGCAGTAATCATGAGCATGAAAATCAAATGGTATGTGAAGTTGACGCGCAATGAAACGAAGAAACCTATTCTGAATGCGTTCAAATCTTATAATATTATATGTGTAATATGGCACCCAAATGACTATAGCATACTCTACTATTGATCTGATCAATGAAAAATACAAAGTTTTTAACGCTGATAGATTATGAAAAGCAGATGCATTTCTCATTACAAATCCCAGAGATTTTAAAGATTTAGAGATAACTTCGGAGATATGTTCATTATAATTGAGATCTTTACCAATCAAAACCCCCAAGTCTCGAACCTGAGTCACTCTATTTAATTCACTTGAACCCACAGTATAACTATATACAAATGTGATTTTCCTCGCAAATGAGATTACTACACTCTTATCTAAATTGAAGGTCAAATGATTTTTCTTACACCAAACTATAAGATGTTTAAGATCTAACCTGAGTTGTTTAGAATCGAGACAAGGGTTATTTGCATTAATTGCTTTAAAAATTTTCAGGTCATCTGCGTACAACAAAAATTTGGAATATTTAAAAACAAATTTTATATCGTTAATATATAAAACAAACAATAAAGGACCGATATATATATATATATATATATATTTGCGCGAAAATAAGAGAAAAGATTGCGGACAATTTGTGCGCAAAAATTTAAAGCAAAAAAAAAAAAAAAAAAAAAAGACAAAAAGAAAAGTAATTTTATTCTTCTTTCTTTTCAGACATATGGGTGTTTTGCAGTACTATTCACTCGACGTGGCTGCTTTTTACTTGATTATTTCAGTGGTTTTATTTTTCGGAGGAAAGAGCTTGTACCTAAGAGCTGTAAAAAGACAATTCACATCCAAGAAGAAAGTGGAGTAATCGCCACCTTTTTACACACTCAAAAGTATTAAAAATAATAATGTATATTATGTAATAATATTTATTACCGAAAAATGTTTTTCTACTTTTTCAAAAATATTAATTATTTTTTGAAAAATTAAATGTAAACATGTTTATTAATTTTAAGAATATAATTATAGTATATTTTAATGACTCCCACTTTTCGAAAAAAGAATGCAAGAAATAATATGTTATATATATATAGTAAAGAAAAATTATTTTTGATAAGAAAAAATTTATTTATAAAATGAATTTGTAAAATTTACGCAATATTAAAATTATATTTAACATACTTAATATTTATGTCACGCCTACAAATTTATTTTGATTTAAAATAGAAACGAAATTCGCATGAATCACAAGTTTTGAACGTTTAGATTAATGAACGAAATATTTTTTAATATTAAATATCTATTTATTATTTATTTCATTAAAAATCATTCTACATTTAAAAATTTTTTTAATTAATTTTTTTGATAGTGACAGAAAATTATTATAATATAAATTCAATTTGAAAAAGTAATAAATAAATTTCGTTCGTTATTTGAACGTTCAGAATTTTAGGAAACATCAAAGTTCACTAAAAATAAAAATAGTTTTTCGACTTATACTACAAATTAATTTTTTAAAAAGAGTTTTTTTTCAATATTTATTAAACATAATATTTCTCTAAATTTATATATATATATATATAGTAATATATTATTTTCCATTTTGTTTTATCAGCAGTGCTTGCAAATCATCTCTATTGAAAATTATTGGGTTGGATAGTGATATCGGTTTTGTATCCTTAGATTCATTTGTAATTGGAATTCTTGAGTAGAGTAAAGAACGAAAATATGCATAATGGAATTTAGTGCTTTACGCTTTAAACGAAATAAATATTAATGAATATAATAAAAAAGTTTGATTCCAGCTTATTTTTAATTTAAATTCCATTTATAAACACATTATAAATTTTAATTGGTTGGTAGCTTCACTTTAAAACCTAACAATCCAATTTTTACAAGTTAGTATAAGTAAATTTTACTATTTTTTAAGTAAATTTCAGTAAAATGTTCTTTGGCAGTAATTAAATTTTCCTTTATAAGTACAAATTATTTTATCTTTTGATATAATTTAGAAATAGAAGTCAGTTATGTTGGAAAGAGGAAAATTTTGTCACAAATTTAATGTTCACTGTAAACATGCAGTGTAAATTTTCAAATTTCGTCACAGTGCGAACTTTACTGTAAACTTTCAAAAATAATATTAATCTAAGGTGGTATAATTTATAAACTTTAATGCATATGAAGTTAATTAACACATCTGCAGAAAGTTTGTAATAACAATAATATTTTACACAAATATAATCGAATAGAAAGAATTCTTTCCGTTTACAATAAGAAAATGTCCAAAAAGAAAAAAAACAATAAGAAAATACATAAAAAGTACAATCGGTAGCGATTTGTTTCGAAAAATTTAAACATAACCTAAAAAAGCGCACTTAAATCTCATGAATTATGCGAAATTGCTGTAAAACGAAATATATCTCTACTCCATTTATTATATTTTTCGAAGTTATGCAAGAGAGGGGAAGAGCACAAAATTATCATCCGCCGATTTGAATAATCGATTTTAATTGACGAGACTTTGCGTACTGTGGAGTTGTAAACAATAAAATAAATTTCCCATTATGGGGACTTACCATCATTCTTGATGATGCCGGATATCTAGTTGTCCCAGCTGGATGCACCGGATTTTCTCTCCTTTATCCTCCTTTTGAAGCTGTTCCGAAACAAAGCGCTGTCATTTTCCGCAAAACACATTCAAAAAACACTTATTTACAGTCAAGTCAAAATTTTAATAATCAACACATTGACATTACACAATTATTCACATTAAGGAACACTGGCGATTTTAGAGCAAAAAATATTACAATGCTGCCATCTACATTGTAACAATGTGGCAAATTTTGACACGACACTCAAGAATTTTTTTCATAACTCACAATACTCGAAACTACCATCTACCTCAGATAATAACCGGAAATACATTAACAAAATTCCGCACAATAATCGCATCTGCTATATTAGCATTGAAATATCACGAAATGCCCGGAAGAAAACTTTACGAACTAATAAACTTTCGATAAAAGTGTATTTTTTTCGGAAGGGTAAATAGACAGTTCCCTTGCTATTAGATTACTCTACTCTATAAATTTTCATTATTATCATTTGTAAAAATCATCAAATTTATTATATTATTAACTTGTAAAAAGGTTGTAAGTGAAGTTATTCTACCAATACTAATTTACAGATCAACTGAATCTGACAAATAGAATAAATTAAATAGAAAAAAGAAACTTTAACAAATACTACATTTCATTGAATATTTTAATTAAATAGGAAATTCATAGATGTCGCTAAAAGACAAATCGTGTTCTTTTTTGCAACAAGGGAACGTAGTTATATGTAGAACTACAAACCAGAACTAGATAGAGCTCAGTAATCTTGCGATTCTATTCTTCTACTTGAGTACTTACCCTTCCGAGAGACGAAACACCACAGTGAGGGCACGCCAGTGTCTTATTTCGGTACACTAATAACGAAAGTTCTCGTCACTAACTGCAGAGGCGCTGGTGGCTCAAGTAGCGCGATTATACGAAAGTGTTAACATCGGGGACCGCTTCTGAAACGAAACTAAATAGAAAATTACTTTCATTTTAGTGTTTGAGTTGACACGAAACTAAATTAACAAACTGAGTTTAGTTTCGTGTCGACCCGAAACTAAATTAACAAATTAGATTTAGTTTCGTGTCGACTAAAAACAAAAGATGGAAAAACATAATTATTTAGTGTCAATCACAGAAAAATTGTTTCCCCTCACTTACGTAACTAGAGCTACGTAAGTAAATAAAGTAAGTTACGTAACCAGAGTAAATTACAAAACTACAGTAACTTACGTAAATGATCAAACTTACGTAAGTTACGTACGTAGAGTAACTTACTTTTATGGTCAAATTTACGTAAGTTACGTAACTTACGCAAATAATCAAACATACGCAACTAAATAAACTTATGTAAATGGTCAAATTTACGTAAGTTATGTAAATAATTAAATTTACGTAAGTTACGTAACTTACACAATTAATCAAACTTACGCAATTAAAAAAGCTTTTGTAATTGGTCCGATTTACGTACGTTACGTAACTTACGTAAATTTGATTATTTACGTAACTTACGTAAATTTGATTATTTACGTAACTTATGTAAATTTGAACATTTATGTAAGTTACTGTATGTACGTAACTTACGTAAGTCCAGTTAATGTGTAAGTTATTCTAGTTACGTAACTTACGTAACTTTGATCATTTACGTAACTTACTGTAGTTACGTAATTTACTCTGATTACGTAACTTACATTATTTACTTACGTAACTCTAGTTACGTAAGTGAGGGGAAACAATTTTTCTGTGATTGACACTAAATAATTATGTTTTTCCATCTTTTGTTTTTAGTCGACACGAAACTAAATCTAATTTGTTAATTTAGTTTCGGGTCGACACGAAACTAAACTCAGTTTGTTAATTTAGTTTTGTGTCAACTCAAACACTAAAATGAAAGTAATTTTCTATTTAGTTTCGTTTCAGAAGCGGTCCCCGATGTTAACACTTTCGTATAATCGCGCTACTTGAGCCACCAGCGCCTCTGCAGTTAGTGACGAGAACTTTCGTTATTAGTGTACCGAAATAAGACACTGGCGTGCCCCCACTGTGCGAAACACTACTGACGCGTCGCACGCAGCAGAGCCGCTTGTCCAGTTGTCGACTGCACCCGATTGGCTAAACTCTGGGACCCTCGGGCCAATGAGCGGACGCGCTCACGAGTGGGGAAAGTGGGGATAACTGTGTGCGTAGTACGCCAGTGCTTGCACGCGCCATCTCTATGGTAATTAAAGAAGCTTCTTGACCAGTTAAAGGGCAATTGAATTATTATCTTTTTTATTAGTGTCATGTTATTTGTGTTATTTTCTATTAAATTTTTAATTTAAACCTAGATTACAATTCGTAGAAAATTGAATAATACAAAGTGTGAATAAAAATTAGTGCGTAATTGAATAGATTTGAGTAAATTGGATGGAGTAATAGCACTTCGTATTTTCATTATCAGGAATATCAGTCGGATCAAAACAAGAGAAAATTTGAGGTTATGTTACAGGAATAACGAGAATAACTGTAATATTGTAAGTACTTAATACCATTTCCATATTTTTTAAGTATTTTCCAATTAAAAGTTTGGTAAAATTTTACAAAGAGAAATTGTCATTCAGTATTCTATCAATTTGTGTTTTTAAGATAATTACTATAGTAAATTGCTTTCTATTTTTGTGACATAAATTTCAGAAAAGTCATTATCATTATTAGTGAAATATTTTGAATATTGTCGCATGAGAAATGACTATAAAAATGTCAAATTTATAACTATAGTTAAATAAGTTAATAAAAAATTAACAACAATTATTAAATTAATATTTGTGTCGCCCTATGAACAAAGGTATCTAAGAATCAAAGCACTTTAAGGTTATGTTTGTTTTAATTTTTGCATTCATTAAAAGTTTCTGAATAATTATGAAAGACTAAAATCAGTTTTTATTCATTATTTTACATGTAATAAACATTTAAACAGGTTTTATATTCAGAGTTTGATCGTTTGATATAAAATTACAAACATAACCTCAAAATTTTTGTTCTTTGTACTTTTTTCGAAGTGCATCACCTGCGTCACATTTGCTTTTTGTTAAAACCGTTATTTAATAGAAAATAATAATGAAATTAGTTATAAAAAAATATCGAAATTATATTCTTTTGACATAACATAATATAGAAGTTAATTAAAGGTTTAACTTTGTAACAAAATAATATGTCCCCTGCAGAGAGGCAACAACGCTACCTGTATGTATTATAGGTAGCGGAGGAAGAGAGAATTTTTCTTCCACATTTAAAATTTTTTTCCAATGCTTATTATAAAGAGAGTCGTTTACAAACACTAATTTTTTACTATTTTTTCAATAATCATCATTCTTTGTCTAAACGAAATTAATTTATTCTCTATAAATACTCGAAAAATGAAATTTAACAGAGAAATAATAATTTTTCTGTTAATTTTCATAAATATTGGTAATTTTCCCTTTTACGTCTAATGTACTTGAAAATGGCTTTTATTTTAAAAGCAAAACTATGTTCTTTTTTGCAAAATCGTGAATTATCGCTTTTCGTAAATATTGTCTACAAGGGATCTTGCATACTACGCCCCTGTAGTCCAGCTGACTCGTCTCGTTGCGATGTGTAGTTGTGTAGTGTTTGCTTGTTTGCCGTGCAGTGAACTGCGTATTTATTATACGTCTCGCGTCGTTTGTGTGTTTCAAGTACAAGTTTCACGAGTTTAAACAATTTTCTGTGAAATAAAACAGTTGAATTGAAGGCAGTCGATTATCCCGAAGAAAGCACCTGTCAAGGTAAAGAAATTTGCAACAACAATAAAAACAATATTACCTGTAAATATATTGTAGCCACGTGGGCAGTGTTGCCTTTTAGTCTCTTCTCTGACCTACTCGAAAATCGTCTAAAATAAGATCACATCAACAAACAACATTCTAACCTCAAAATTTGTTAGAATTTTAATAATATAAATATACAGCGTATTGGAAAAAGGAGACTGTAAACAAAACAAAGATGAGAGAGAAAGAATTTGTAGCAGGGATCGTTGAATGAGGGGAATAGTGGAGGAGGCAAATGAGGCGTAGCAAGAGGAGGAAAGAAAAGAGCGAAAATGACGCCAAGGACCTCGTTTATAGTTTTCTTTTTTATTTTTTTTTTCTAAAACACGTGCTTTTTGATGATTGGAACAAATTTTGTTGACGCTGAAAATTATCGACCACCCACTTTAGGGAGAGAATCGATTTATTCCATTGTCGTTGTGTATATATGCCGGGTGTCCAATGGTGCGACATAACAGATAATTTTCAGAGGTTATGTGTTTTGTGTGGAAAGTGTTAGAAGTCGCTATAGTATATACAAGGGAGAAGATGTGTTGAGAAAAATGTCGTCGCTCGCGTCTCGCACGTGGATAAGGCTGGCGCTTTGATTTTGATTGCATCTTGTGTGCATTCGTCGTACGAGGCGTAAACAGAGGCCGAAGTCCCCTGAGAGAGCAAAATAGTATCGAGGTTGTAAACAAGTGCCTGTGAGTATGTGTGCGCATGGATTGCTGTGCCTCTGGCGCGTGACGTAATCCATTCAGCATTACTACGCAATACGAGACGCGGCATATCCTCGCGATCAGTTTCCCCTCTCTCTCTTTCTCTGTCCACTGGACGTTCAGTTATATGTTTGTATTGTGACTTTCATGATTTATATGCAGCCAGGAAGCGGATGTGTGTAGGATAAAAAAAAGCTTATTTTCTCATGATTAATCATCTGAATGATATTCTAGCAATTTCTTTTATATAAAACGTGAGTTCCTTGGGGAAACAACTGGTGAAATTTTTTGTTTTTCAAGAAGTCGATTTTCCTTCTTTAGGAGTGTGCTCATCCTCTCTCGCTCTCTCTCTCCCTCTCTCGGTTGCCTTGAAGTCGTGACCCCTGAGATGAGCCGCCTCTTTTCGGAGACGCATTTTTCCAAGAAGGGAAAGGTTAAGTTGTTTGTTTCTCGTAGAAGCATTGCGCCGTGTCGTGAAGTCGATTTACGAGAGAATTCCTAAACAATCTTGTAACTGTTGAAGATAATGACTAATTGACTAAAGTGTAAATTCGGTAAAGAAAATTTTCTCTATTTTTTTTTGTGGTAGAAGTAATTTTCTCTCATTGACAAACTTTCAATTTTCTGTTTGTTTTACTCGCTGGGGGGAAATTAATACAACTTGGTGTGTGCGGTTGAATTTTATTTATGTAAACAAAGATTGATTTATGATCGTGTTTAATATTGAGGAATTGTTCTGCAATTGTTTGCTGGCCCTTGAATTAAAGAACTACGTATATATAGAGAGAGAGTTCACTGCGTAAATTGTGAGTTAAGAATATAGAACAGAATCGACGTATATATTTGCAGTCGACCTCCACGTGAAAGCGTTATCGAACCAGCAAAGTTGATTGTTCGGCTTGTTTTGGTTCTTGCCAACGCTTTGCTTGAGGTTTGTTGTTATTGTTGTGCAATTTCTATAACTAAATTCGTTGGGAAATTTTCAATTTAGTATGCTGCATTACGAATCAATGATGATGAAAAATGATTTCGTCTTATCTCTCTCTCTCTTTTTCTCTCCTTCTCTCTTATTTTTGTAGCCTTTGGGATTGGAAGAATATTTAATGAGAATTTATTAATAAACACATCCTGTTATTTAAATTTAAAAAAAATACTACGCTAGAGATTCTTTAATATATTTTTTTTTGAATGTATCGTTTTTTAATTTCGGTTTTTCCGCAGTAAAGTAATTCTAGAGATTTAGGTGAACTTTGAAAATAAGTGTCAGTGCTTTTAAATAATTAATTTTCTTTTATTAATTCTGTTTTGTTGCCACAAACTTGTTATAATATTATTATAAATTTTTTATTCTTTTATTATTAAAATTATTATTATTATTACATTGAGTAAAATACTTCTTGACAATTTTTTTTCGTTTCTCGACGTCGTGATTTCAATTTATTCTTCGTTTGTGTTTCAAAATACATAAAATATAGAAACTGAATACAAAATTAGGAATATTTATTTTTATGTAAAATTTACACTTTTTGGTTTAATTTGAACGAAATTTTGTCAGAATTTTGTTTTGATTCTTTTCTATAAATATTTCTTATTATTTTGTCTTTCTTCTATTGTTGAGGTTTTCGTTAGGCCATCAAATCAATTATTGGTTGTATTGCATCAGCCAGTTTCAGATGCACATTGAGCTTCATGTGTCTACTTAAACCCCGTATTGAAAAGTTATTTCGAAATGAGCAAGCTATTTTTGTTGAAATTCTATTTGCATTGTTAAAAAAAGAATACTATAAATAATTGTTGACATCTTTTTGTTTCTTCTTGTCACTGTCATTAGAATTCAAATCGAGTGAACTAAATAATTGTTAAAATATTACATAATTTTCATTTCAAATGGTATACGCAAATAAATTATCTGTTATTTTCTTTTCTTTTTTTTAATTGTATATATACGTTCTCTGTTATTGTCTTGGAATAAATTTCTATTTAAATAATTTTTCGTCGTTGCGAATATTTTCAGATTTTAACTTTTTAATTTTGAATTTCAATTCTTTAATTTTCATTCTTTAATTAATTCTTTAATTTTAGTTCTTAAATTTTAATTCTTTAATTTTTATTTTTTAATTTCAATTTTTGTATAAACATTAAATTTTTTGCTGGAATATTTTGAGAGAGGAGAAAAAGAGTTGCGCTAGAAAATGTTTATAATAGAATTTTTTTCTTTTTTCATACGAATTGCATAGTTGGACGAGTTCTTTTATCAAATATCGTTTTAGAAAAATGAAAAGTTGACTATGAGAATTGTATTTCTAAAATAGTATCGAATAATCTAGCAAAGGGGAACTATTGTTGTCTTTTTATCCTTGAGGCAGGTATCAATTTTCCTTTCATTCATAAGAGTATCCTCCTGAATTTATAACCATATATTCTTTTTATAATTCTCAGAAAAAATAAGTGAACGCTTATAAGGAATGTTAGCTTGAAAATTATGTTGATACTGTTATTTACAAAATCATCTATAATAATACAAGAAAAACAACCTGCAATTAATTATAATTAATTTCCGACCTTTCTTAATATTAGTTCAAATTTTCCGAATTTAAATTATTTTTTTGTATTTTCTCTACAATTTTTAAACAAATATTTTTCTATATTTGAATATTTTCGGAAAATATTAAAAATTTTAAAGAATAATAAAATTGTTCATTAAAATTTGGAAATGGTATCTAATTTTTTTAATTATTTGACAATTCTATATTTCACGTTTAAAAATTATTATGATTTTTGTGAGATAATTTTTATAATTAATAAACTGAAATTTACAGTAATGAAATAAGAAAAAAAAGTAAATAAATAAACACTCATGTTTCAAAGACAGTTTTAAAAATAAAAACTAAGTAATAAAATTAAACTTAATGAGCAACATATTTCATGATAACCTCGTTTACCCATTAGCTTGTGTTACATACATTGAACTTGCAACATTGTAGCAATTTTCTTAATCATTTTTTTCTGAGAATGGCCGATTGCGATAAGAAACTACATTTATACACATTATTACTTTATTTTCACTCTACATGTCGGTTGATATCTGAAAGCAAAGGAAATGAGAAAAAATTCATATATATACAAAGTTGCATTCAAATATTCGAGACCAGAGATAATAATCTTGGCATATGAAATTTTATTAAACGTTTTGTGTAAAATGAATATATATATATAGGTGTAAAATATTCACTCTAAGAGTAGCTTTACTAACTTTGTATGCTATAATGTTTAATATTTATAACTACGCCGTCATTTATACGGTTGTACGTGAAAAGGTATAATTTATGTAAATAAAGAATTCGCTTGCTACAGAGGGAGAGGTGCATTTTACCCTTTGGGATTTTGTTGCACAGTTTGACACCTTGCGGTAATATTTTATCGTATCTTGTACCATAATTTCGAGTATCGAGAGATATCTGCGATTCACACAATAATAGGGATACAATTTGTAAAAAGAAAGAAAGGGAATTTTTAATTATTTCTCTTTTTTTGTCCCATATTTTTTGAGTTAAATATTAAAAATTCAGCACCTGGTTGTCTGTGATACATTTCACGAAATTTATTTCTCCGGGGTATAAAGTTTCTTTTATGAATATTAAAAGTTTCACGCGTTAATAATAATAATTACCGGTTTTTGTAAAGTCGTTATCCTTTTTTTATTTAACGAACAATTTTTACTGAAGAGAAATAAATTTTCCTAATTTTAGAAAGAAATTTTATTCTTTCTGACAAAAAGAAAACAAGACATAATCATTTTTTATTGGAACAAAAGGGTTTTGTTATAAAAGGTCCAAAAAAATAGTTTTCCTCATACCAAATAAAACTATTGAAAAATGAATTTCACTTATCAATTATTTTCCGAGTTTTGTTAACAATATTTTATTCTACCCAAGTGCGAAAACCAACGCGGCCCAACACTGGCCCAGTATTGGCAAAGCTGGCATCGAGACTTGGCAGACAATATTGGCCCGACTTTGCGCCGACTCTTGTGGTGTTAACCGCGGTTGGACGTCGGCAGCCAGATCTCGGCAGACATTAATGGCCCAATATTGGCAGCTAGATCTCAGCAGACATTAATGGCCCAGTATTGGCTGCCATTACTCCCCCAGTGTAGACAAAATTAGAAAAAAATAAATTTTTTTTATTTAATTAACTAATTAATTTATAACATTTATACGGCTTATTTCCCTAAATTAAACGCAAACCTACAAATATTTGAAAAATTCTTACCTCTTGCGGGGATCGATACCTGAACCTGACGCACCACAGCCTAACACTCTGACCACTCTGCTACTCTGACTTGAAGTCGAGGAAGCAAAAGGGTTCTTATAAGCTACACTACACTGGCCGATACTGTGCCATTATTGGGCCGAGCTACGTCCCAATTTTGGCAATTATAATTTGCCATCATAGATACAAAATGATAGACATTAATGTGCTATTCCTGGGCCAAGCTACACCCCAATACTGGCAATTATAATTTGCCATGAAAGATACAAATTTTTTGCCATTAAAGTGCCAATAATGTGCTATAATGTCCGATCTTTGTGACATCACTGGCAATTAAATTTTGCCATTAAAGATTGATCAACTTTGCCAATATTGTGCCGTTATTGAGCCAAGCTACTCCCCAATACTGGTAATTATAATTTGCCATGAACGATACAAATTTTTTGCCATTAAAGTGCCATTAATGTGCCTTTAATGGGCCAATCTTCGTCACATCATTGGCAATTGAATTTCAAAAAATTTTAATATCAAAATTCATGGCATATTTTTAATATTTAATTATTATCTAAAAATTTGACTAGAATCCATTTTGAAATCAATTTTTACTAGAAAATTCTACAAGAATTTAATTATTTAAATGCAAAAATAAATAATTTATTGAATAACTAAATGTTTCTTAAAATTGAATTATGAGAATTAAATTTTAAAAAACA